TAGCGCACAGCTTTTTAACTGCCAAGTGGCCGGCATGTCAGATCTGAGCAACGGTTACGATGACGATGGAGACATTTGCTGGGATCCGTTTATATTGTTTTTTTTCTGTTTTTTTTTTCTTTTTATTCGTTTTGTGAATGATTTGGTCGCACGTGTTGGCCGTTTCCGCAGTTAAAGATCATGATTGATTTTAAACTCGATTTATATTTTCCCATTGAAATGAGGCCCTTTCATTTGGGGGACTTTAATATTCACTTCATTGAAAGAGATGCGACCGTTATGATATTGAAAATGAAGTTACTTATTTAGAATACATCGCCATGAATATATAGCTCTGATAGGCCAATCAAGCTGGGACCGCTGCATGCCCAAGAACAAGCAAACAACGAAACAACCGGACAGGCAGACAACTAAATCCATATTAATTATATTGCCTTCGGTTTGAGGGCAAAATGAAATTATAAGAAGCCGCAGAACTCGACCTTAAAACCAGCAGCGTCATGCTGCTCTGCACAGTGCATAGAAAAAAGCAAATATTTGGACAATGGGAACAAGGCAAAAGGTTCCGCCGGGGTCGCTCTAAATGAGGAAAAACGCTGAAAACCATACATAAACAAACAGACAGACAAACAAAAGAAGAACTAGCCACAACAACAATAACAACAAACAGCAAATAGATATAGCAACTCCCTGGGTCTTGCTCTGGGCTTTGCCCATTTGGGTATGATGTCTGAGAGTGGTGCAGTCAAAAGTTCAAGTGCAGCGATGCCGTCAGCTTGCATAGCACGGGCCCGGCCATTAGTCGAGGCAGGTTAATAAACCAGAGACACTCACTCGCCAGACAAGTGATTTATGTTTGTGGCCCAAACTATGACACCTAACAGCTAGAAAACGTGTTGCTTTTATTTTGGTTCGCCCTTCAAGTCGAAAGTGCATGCAAAGCGATATCCAGCGCTGAGGCATCGTTTGACTCTGTTCCCTTATGGGCTCACATTGCGTATGTGTGATCCCCGTTGATGTTGACGCATATAATTGATAATATGCCGCCTTAAAACACACAGGCGCCAGTTGATGACTGAACAGTGATAGTCACAACAAAATGGACACGTTTGAAAATAGGAAAAATAGGTTAGGATTCGGAAGAGAGATTTAATAGGATAAGTGACTAATTTAATTTTTAAAGCATCAATAAATTTTAATGTTTTTCATCTGTTTACAATATTTTTCGGCAATAATAAATTGTATCCCCATAATCAGACAAACTTTTTTAATATACCTTCATCCATAAAAATACAAAATACTGATTATATTTGCATCAAACTTAGTTGACGTGTTATTAAAATCATATCGGTTATATTGAACACACAAAAATTCTTATTTTATAAAATGAATTCATATTAATTGTTAAGTGTTCAGGCAGATATAGTCTATCTTTTATTTATTTACAACCCGAATGAAATCAGCCGACATCAACAAATGCAAATTACAAAACATAAAATCTTTTAATTTAAAAGCATGAGCATCGTTTACATTCAAATGTATTCATATAAGAAATTATTTAAATACAAACTTACTGAATTTTGTCGCAAACAATAATATTGAATTTTATAATAAATTGCGAGTTAGTCATTTTTTTGTATAGACATATATTTTAATTTTCGGATGCATTACGGTTGGCATTGACAACAATACAGTAATAATGTAATATTTATAATAGTATTTTAGTCTTGACTTCGTTAGTTTGAATTTTTAGTAAGATAATATATCTAGTTTAAATTGCCAATATTTATTGAACTATCATCACTACAGCTTCCTAGAAATATCGGTATTGATTAATGGGTACAATGACTTCTATTGCTCACTGTTCTGGTCAGTTGTGGTCGTCTTCTGGCCTATAGCAATGTGTTTTTCACATGGAGAAGCCGCTCAAAAATTGTGTTTACGTTACGCGCTGTGATTATAACGAGAGAGTGGCTCTAAAGATGCCGATGCCGACGTCGACTTGTAGATGGACATGTGCTATCTAACGTATGCGATAGAAGCCCCAACATCACTTGAGGCCAATCTGTGTTTTTTTTTTCCTTTTATACTGCAGTTGTTGCTGTTCTTGTTGACGTAGTGGTTGTGTGATCCAGTTGTTTATCTTTTTCATTAGCCTGGGCGGCCTGTCATCTGTACCGTCGCCTGTCGATCGTCTGTCGTTTGACAAAACGCCTACCGGGCAGAAGAGACCGTCAGGTTGGCAGCCCACCATTTACCAAACGGGCTGTGACTTTTCCACACTTTACCATGCACATCAGACCCAATCGAACCTGTAACTGCAACTGAAACTGCAGCCGGCAGTTGGCAGCCTTCGCCTTAGCCTTAGCCTTAGCCTTTGGAGTTAAGTGACTGACGCAAATTGCGCAATTCTTATTACAATTACTTTGCAACTAGCTGAGGCTGTTGCCTGATGCTGCAACTGCAGCATAGTCTGTGATCCATACGCAGTATATACTTCAATCGGTGCTCTTTTCCGCGTTCACAAGTTTACCTCTTGGTGCATTTTTCTAATACTTTGTTAAAAAAAAAAAAAAAACAATTTTTATTGAAATTATTTGGCCTTTGGCTGTACTTGCACCAGGGTTGGGGTCTGGAACTGTCGGATCGTTTGTCAGTCTGTGGCTACCAGTCTTTTTTTTTGTTGGATTCTCTAAAAGATAGTCATTAGCACAAAAGATTGCTTTTGCCACGGCTGCTGCTTCTGCTTCTCAGTCCGCTTAAACGGGGTAATTACCTTTCGGGTCTGTCTTATATAAAAAAAAAACAGAAAAAACACATGATACCAAAAAACAACCAAAACAATAGCAACCAAACTGATCGTTTTGTCGAGGAAATGAAAACGTAACAAAATTAATTTGCAACGGTTCAGGCGCTCAATGGCTCATAACTGGCGTGTGGCAGGCAAACCCCAGTTCCCATTGTCGAGCGACAGACCGACAGACATTGGTCTTCATTTCGAAGTGAAATAAAGTTATTAGAGTGAAATTTGGTTTTGCTATTTTGCGGTTAAATTTGTAATCCATTGAGCAGTTGTAATGGCATCAGGAAGCCATTGACAGCCAATCGCTAAATAGATTCGAAGAGAGATGAAATACTGAAATTAAAGTCATTCGTTCTGAATTTCAATTTCAATCTTCAGTTGTTTCCATCTGTTTACAGATGACGTGCATAAAAATTATGGTTTCACCTTATAGATCTATAATTTTCATCAACTTAAATGCCAGGCATAAAGTTGATGGGAACCGACCGATAAACGAGTATTCAGACATATTTGCGATAAGCGTTGCCATCAATTCAGACACTTCCACTGTGAAAATAGTTCACAATAATTGTTAATAATCACACATATTTCAACACCAATGTTTTCGATATAAGCTATTGTAATAAGCTGCAATTTTAATTAATTTAAACAAGATTATTATCATTATGGCGCAAATCACAATTTTTTATAATTTTTATTAGCTGCATGTGTACAAATATACATATTTTCTTATATTATCGGAATTTTATTCAATATTCAATGTTAATATGTAAACTAGTTCGGTTCCTTCAAACGAATTCTTCATTATACATCATAGATCATTCTTTAAAGACTTGTCCCAGTAAATAAAGTATTGAGAGATCATCCATTCAAGTTTTTTTTTTTCTTTTCGGTAACGGCTTTTTTATATTTGTTTTTGTTACTTTCCAAGGGGCAAGATGATCTATTGTAGACAATAACAAGGTAATATAAATAACTTTTGTCATTTAGTTTATTGACGTATTTAAAAAACGTTATGTGTATACATAAATCAAATCCATCGAGTTAAGTCTAATTTGCAGTATTTTCAATGCATTCCTCTGCGATCAATTTTACCACAATATTCTGTCTACAAAGATTTGTAATTGAGTGCGTCGCTTTCTTTAGATTAGTATTGGTGGGTTTGCGCGGCCAATGGCCGAGGGCCAAGAGCATGCATTACTGGTCATATAGAAGTATGTACCTATAGTTATCTAATAATTATACCTCTGCAAGATTCCACTCAACATACTCGAGTAAAAAAACTAACAATAAATTTTTTGCTTTTTCTCTACTCTACTCCAGACATGTGCCCGGCACGTTACCGATGAAGCAAGCAACTTTAATCAGACTCAGACACAGGTAAGTTGTCAACCGGGGGGCTGGGTGGGATGGTAAACAACGTATGATGTTACCAGCTCGGGCTATAGTATGAGTGTGGGTGGCTTGTGGTGTTTGGTGCATCAGGCGAAACGCAAACATCTAATTTGATGGCGTGTGCTCTATGCGGTGGAATTGAGTAAACTTTAATTAAATTTCAAAATGATTCCGCTTTGATGAGCTCTTGGCCCATCTTGGGATGCAAGTCTCTGACGTCTGACTACGGGTGCTTTGTCTTGCCACATGTGATTATTAATTGTAGCATGTGTCGTCGTCGTCTAGCTGTAAAACATATTCGTGCGATCACAATAAATTTTTTCTATCACTATTTTTTTTTTTTTCGCGTTGCGCCAAAACAAAAACTGATTATGAGGCAAAAGTGAAAAGTTGTAATTAAACCAGTCACTGGCTGGCTGCAGTACAGCGAAAAAAAACTATATGTATACTATATATATATATATATATAAATAAAAACTTCAACTACAACTGTAACTGCAACGACAACAGCAACCACATCTGGTAATCATAAAGAGTAGAAATCGTCGAGGCGACGTGCCCGTTTTTTAGTTGTAGTTGTGGTTGTTGCTGTTGCTGTTGTTTGGAGTGCCCAACATGCGACAAGTGCACCTAATTAGTAGGGAGCATAAGGCAAAGGGGATCTGGGATGATTTTGGGGGTATGGTCGGCTACTGCCACATGTCCAGCTCTCATGCAGTTCCGGCAGCTTACATGTCTAATGCTAAATTGCCATGTGTTTTTTTTTTAATTTTTGTGTGTCTGTTTTTTTTTTTTGCAGATCCACAGCATCGAAGATGTGGCCCAAACAGCGTTGGCTAGTCAACAGAGCAACTGCAGCGATATCGGCGAGGAGCAGCAGACACCAAATAGTAGAAGTATTAGTAGGCTTAATCTTAGTCAATTGCCTTGCCTCAGCGACAGCGGCGCTTATCACACCACCGGACAGTAGCAGCAGCAACAGTTTTGACTACGAGTCCACAAATGATGATGAGGGCAGAACGTCCCAGTTGCCTAGTTTCTATCGCAGTCCACATCGCCTTGATGGCTACTATACGCCAGTGGATCTGCAGCGCAGCCACAACTTTAAGATAAGCCCAAAACCGTGTTCCTTTGGACGCATCGAGGGCACCTGCATGTTCGTCTGGGAGTGTATCAAGTCCGAGGGGCAGCACGTGGGTATGTGCGTTGACTCGTTCATGTTTGGCTCGTGCTGTGCTCACAACTACACCGAAAATATTGTGTTGCCACACACAGCCTTCTCCTATACGCGACCCACCAAGCCCCTCTCACTGAGGCCGCGACCACCGCCGCAGCCGCACAAGCCGCTAATCAGGTGAGTAAACAAACAAAGGCGGCTCAAATGCGTTTTCATTTGAAGCTTAAATACATTACGCTGCTGAGTTTTCCAAATTAATTTCTCTACAAACATAAAATTTTAATGTTTACACTATGACCAAAACATATACACGACGAGAAAGCTTAAAGTAAATTAAATTACATCGAAGTATTGCCACAACAGTTACAGAATTTTCAAAATATAAACTAGAACACTAATGAATTAGAGAAATATGACATATGAGATTAAAGCGAATTGAAAACGATTGTTTAATTTATAGAGATATGATAGGAAAGGTATTCAAACGCTGCCAAATGATTTCCACAATTAGTCATCTATATATTCCTAATAAACACTACGTTCCTTTTCTATATTTAGTGGTATGACAACAATAGAGCGTCCGCATGGCGCTGGAACATTGGTAATTCGTCCTTCCGGGCCGGTGCATCAGGGCACATTGTCCAGGCCGCATCCGAAACCGACGTTATTGCCTGATTTGCAGAGTGCGTCTAGCCAGGCTACAGCCAGTTCAAGTGAGTATAGAATGGCGCCTTATTGCATTGTTGTGAAGGACTTATGGACTCACAACGAATAACAAACAACAATTACACCAACAGATAGTATTTGGCATACATCAACGCAACAGCAGTCGCTGTCGCAGTCGCAGTCGCTGCATCAGCAGCTACACTGGCACATGACCACCGAGCCAAGCTTTATTACCAAGCCGCGACCCACCGGCTGGACCAAGCCCGGCATCATCAATTTACCATCGCCCATGCGTCCCTCCAAGCCGCCAAGGCCCACAAAGAAGCCGATTGTCTACGAGCGGCCACCGCTAACGCCGCTGCCGACGACGTCGTCGTCAACGCCAACCACAATGATGCTGTCGGCGCAGACGAGACCGAAGCCTAAGCCCAAACCCAAACCCACACCGACCAGACCTCAGGTATGTAAATACGCGACTCCCATCACAGTTGCCAGTGCTTGCCACAATTCTTCATTCTGTGCCGGTCTCTCTGTCTCTCTCTCTCTCTCTCTCTCATTCGATCCGAGTGTGTCTGTGTGATGCATTGATGTCGAAAGCGAAACAAACAAGCGACGAGGTCATTTACTCCTCGATCAACTCATGCTCACTGATGCTCCGATGCTCTGACTGCGGCCAGAGCCTTGGGGGACATTTTATTGTTTCCACAAAGCCAGAGCCAAAGCTGATGTAAGATTTGTCTTGTTGCCCCTGGCGGCAACGATGCTGACGAACTCAATAAGTTCATTTGTGAGGTGTGTGGTTATGTGCCTTGTTAGATGGGGTAAATGTATCAAAAGAATGTCCAATAATTTGTATAAGCATATTGCATTTTAGCAAGCTAAGCATGCATGCAATCTATGCCATATTTTTTCAAATCCATATTTAGTTCTTTGAAGTTTATTTGTGTTTTTATCTTGGTCAGGGTACTTCAACGTCGACTTGCGTAATATACAATTGTTTTCACCTCCTTCGAGACTTCGCAATGGAATGAAAAATTGATTCTTTGCATGTGAAATATTTTAAGCTCCTTGGGTAACTATTAGCATAATGTTTACCACTTTTGGCTTCCCTGCAGCTGTCGCCGGCCACATCATTAGCCACGTCGTCCTCATCAGCATCCACAATAACCACAACAACGACAAAGGGTACAACAACAACAACAACAACTACGAGGAAACCCACAAGGCCCTATCAGCGACCCACCACAGCAGCAGCAGGAACGACGACAACAACATCAACAACTACAACAGGAGGAACAACAGCAGCCGCATCAACTACTAGACCGCGTCCGAGTCCAAGCAGCGATCGTCCAATGGCGCAGCAGCCCACACGCCATCCCATAATACAACAGCCGGCCACGATGGGCATTGAATCCAATGAGATAACGGACTCCTCCACACATGATGCCGGCACAGCGATGCTGGGCCATGTGAAGACCATTTCGGCTGCACGCAGCGGTAAGTATTAAGCACAGCCACGCCCACTGCATTTGACACAATCCAATTTGTTGTGTGTACATACATATACATATATACTTCTATATCTACATACATACATTATGTATATGCAGAGTGTGGAGTGCCGATGCTGACGCGTCCAGAGACGCGCATTGTGGGCGGCAAGAGCGCAGCCTTCGGTCGTTGGCCCTGGCAGGTGTCTGTGCGACGCACCTCGTTCTTTGGCTTCTCCAGTACCCATCGCTGCGGTGGCGCTTTGATCAACGAGAACTGGATAGCAACGGCGGGGCACTGTGTAGACGAGTAAGTACACTAAAAAAAAAAAAAAAAAATTAAAATAAAATATATACACTTAGTAAAAAATCCGAAGTCAAATAGTTCTTAAGTGGTGTGATAATTTCAAATGTTCTCAAATCCAGTGTAAAATATGACATACAACTGCAATTTAACTAAAAAATCAATTCAAATTCCTAGCCTTTGATCTACCACATAGCTGCTCCAGTTTGAGTTAAGTGAAGGAAAAACTTTTTGATTTCAATTTATTGTCAGCTAAGGAAAAAGTCGGTGTATTTCGAGAACAACTTCTAACTTTAGCTGAATCATTTTCTTTAGCGATTTTATTTTCTGTGTATGACTGCAGCCGTATCTAGAAAACACAACTGACTGCAATTTCCGCTGCAACTACTACACACGCTCACTGTCTCTACCACTCTCTCTCTCTCTCTCTTTGCAGTCTGCTCATCTCACAGATACGCATACGCGTGGGCGAATACGATTTCTCGCATGTGCAGGAGCAGCTGCCTTACATTGAGCGCGGCGTGGCCAAGAAGGTGGTACATCCCAAATACAATTTCTTCACGTACGAGTATGATTTGGCGCTGGTGAAGCTGGAGCAACCGCTCGAATTTGCGCCGCATGTCAGTCCCATTTGTCTGCCCGAAACGGAGAGCCTACTGATTGGCATGAATGCCACCGTCACCGGCTGGGGTCGTCTCAGTGAGGGCGGTACGCTGCCGTCGGTGCTGCAGGAGGTAAGTGCATGCGACTGGTCTCAATTTTGCCAGTCCCGCTCACATTTGCATTTGCATTTTATCACAGGTGTCGGTGCCTATTGTGAGTAATGACAATTGCAAGTCCATGTTTCTGCGCGCCGGTCGCCAGGAATTCATACCAGACATTTTTCTATGCGCTGGCTATGAAACGGGTGGCCAGGACTCGTGTCAAGGTGACTCCGGTGGGCCCTTGCAGGTAAGCTAGCCATATATACATCAAGATTTATGCTTTGCTTGAGCGCTGATTTCATTTGCAGGCCAAATCACAGGATGGTCGCTTCTTTCTGGCTGGGATCATTTCCTGGGGCATTGGTTGTGCCGAGGCCAATTTGCCTGGCGTCTGCACTCGCATCTCGAAATTTGTGCCCTGGATACTGGAGCATGTGAGATGATGATGATCAGCATGGTCATGATCAACTATGCTCAACTCTTGTTATTGTTTTAATTTATTACTTGTATCTTTAAGTTTGTGTGATTTTAATTTAAACGAATCTTAAGCTTAGTTAGCTTCAATTTAACAATTTGCATTGACCGAACTTGTGCGTATCTTTTGCCCTCCCGAACTCTTAGTCAAGCCCACTAAGTTAGTCTAGCGAAATTTGTTTGTAGGCTGATCTTAAGTTGTCTAACATAATTTGAATCGTACTTAATGAGATAATGGCATCGATATCTGTATATAGCCGTAACAAAAATATACAAAAAGTCATTTTCATTGTGCAGTTGTTGGTATTTTAGTCTAGGAATATTTAACAATTAAATAAATCTATGTAATTTATAACAAAAAATCGCATACAAACATCATTATGTTGTATCTTGCCCAAAGAACAAGTTTATTTATAAAGATGAGCTCAAATAAATCGATTGAAAATATTGTAAAAGTGATAACAAAGAACTTTGAATTAACAAAGATGTTTCTTTTTATATTAAAAAAAGTTTTAGGTATGTAAAAATTTAACCGCAAAATTTTATTTTCCCCAAACCAAGTTGAAAACTCAGCGGAAATGAATACAGAGCTGTCCACAAATTTGTATCGTAATTTTTAGTTGCTATAAAACGATTCTTTGCTTTAAAGGTTTTGGAGAGAAGATATTACTAAATGTTAAATATAAAATATTTGTATCATTTTTTTTTTAATTTTTGAAATAAAACTCCAACTTCCGGCAATTACAATTCTCAAAAAAAAAATTATAAACACCACTGTGATTATTTCTTAAATTTGCTTTAAGGCTACAAGAAATCAGTACAATTAAATAGATAGAATATAAAAGAAAAACTTACTATTTGATTCCCATCGCTTTAAAGCTGGTTTACTTTACACTATAGTAATTGAAAGCTGTCTAGACTGTCTCTCAATTGATGCTCATTATTGATCGATGTACCCTCGCAGCGACAATTACATTGATACATATACAGCACACCGCAATTATGCATTATCATTATTACAATCTTCAATACAAACGCTTCAATTTGATTCGCAGTTGTCTTCAACTCCCGTGAGTCAAGTGCGTAAATGATGTACACAACAATTGCAGTTAACGGCAACGTCAATTTCAATTCATTCATTAACTTTTCAGTCAGCACCGATGTATAGCTTGAGGGCAATGGAATGATTGGCACAATCGATAGGTACGTAAAAATCACATGTTGGCTGTTCTGTGATTTTCACTTTTCAGAAGTGACTTTTGATACCAGTTGAATAATTCGTGAATAACGAACAAAATTATAAAGTTAAAGCGAAATTGGTGCAAGAATCTGGTCGGAAAAATATTATAAATTGGTTTTCACTTTTGATAAGCAACATGATTTTATTGCAGGCAGCACAAACATGCAAACATAATAGTTATACAGAGAACTGTAATAATGATCGCAAATATATATACTATCATGTATACATTCCTATAGACAAAAACGGACCTCAATTCGTTCGCTTGCAAGTGCATATCACTTATTTTTCCTTCTTCTTGGGTAGGAGCGCTTCCTTTGCCTCATCGAACAGATCTAAGGCCAGAAATTGTAATTCCTTCAGCGTTGTGGGAAACTTCTGAATTGGCTCGATTGGCACCTCCTCGCCGGGCTTTACGCCTTTGATGAAGTTGTATGCAACGGCAAAGATTTTACGTCCCTCGTACAGCACAATGCGCACATTGTCCTCCGCTTGGTGTGGATAACAGAGGGATGCAACGGTGCCAGCACCAATGGTCGTGTACAAGATCTTCTTGAAAAAACCGCCACGTGCCGCGAATATGAATCCAGCAAGACCACCCACCACAATGGCGCCACTGCGATGTATAGAATTCTGCGGCTCATTGAGGAAATCGATGGAACGCTGCGTATGCTCCCTTGCTGTATTATAATAATCGCTCACAATCGCAGTCCTATCCCCCACTACTTTGTATCCATTCTGAATCTCAGTGCGCACGGTGCGCACGCCTTCCTCTACCGATTTATGAAGCGACGACTCCCTTCTTGTGTGTTCCTGGACCCTTTGGGGACTGCAAATGGCGATGAAGTTTGAATTATACAATTTAGATTATACTCTATACACTTACGCTGGCGTCCGCAAGGAACCGTAAATCGGTAAGTCGCTAGGCTTGCAAACCATAGAGTCGTTCGTTTGTGGCTTTACTGTGGCCGCGCCAACAGCGACGGCTGCAGTCAGCATCGATGCTTTTCGCAGCATTTCTTTTATTTGTAGTTAGCCTAAGGTTGAGCTTATAAAAGAGACTGCAAATTGAACGAATAAGCTGACCGGAATTTTTAGTTTGATCGAAATGTAACTTTTATTACCTCAGTTTGTTTGATACATTGCATAATGTGTCAACGAGACGGTACGACTGCTTGATCACACACACAGCTGATTGACATTTGAGCCCATCTGGCAACGCTGCGGCAATAAAATGTATTTAAAGTTAGTAACTAGCTGATTTAGTTTATTTCAAATTAGCAAGGGAGAAAATCTTTAAAGTTTTAAAACAGTACACAGCTCGTTAAATAAAATAAATGTACGGAAAAGTAATGATTTTTATATTCGATTTCTTAATGCATCTGCGATACGGTTCGACAAAGATGTGTACAGTTTGAATTACGATGGCAACGCTATAGCTCGCACTTTCTTTTAAAATCAACTACCAAGTCGCACCATGAAACTATGTTAATAAACATAATAAATCTAATTTTGCACCGAAGTTTATCAAAGCAACCGTTTGATTAAAAAGAATGTGTATAACGGCTGCTCATGTACAATTCAATTACGCGCACAGTTAAAGCAGTGTTTAACAGCAAATGTTAATATATTACTTTACATCGCTGTTATTATTGGGGTTACCATAGGCGGGTGAAAGAAGAAGACACTGTTGTGCTGTTAGTTGAGTCTCGCGACTCGCGAGAAAAGCAAAGTTGAATAATAATGAAATAATAAAATCCTACTTTGCTTTTAAAATGAAACAAAAGCTTTGAACGTACTTAATGTGATGGCAGCAGGTCAGTGGCAACACCTATAAGCGATAATTTTGTTGTTTTAATCTTTAGTACACCTACAATTTGTATAACATAACATTAACATTTGTGTTTGCTTCAAATATAAAATAGTGCAAAGATAAAAATAGTAATAAATAAACCAATTGAATGTATCCAAGGAACGCAATAACAAGAAACCCTGTAGCCGCAGCGCATTCAAAGTGAAAGTCGAAGCGAAGTGATTATAATTTCACAACACCTGACACCCACTGCTGTTATCAGTGCCCGAAGCGCGCTAAAAACGCCTACAACAATAGCAGAGTGCTTAGCGCACGTAATAGCAAATTCTCAAGGACACACGAAGTAAAGTAGGTGACTTAGGCATTTATAAATAAATGAAGTCAAACTAACTAACAGTATTTATTAATGCAGTTAAACGCAACAGCGGCAGCAGCAACAGACAGCGGAAGCGGTGAACGTGCGCACAATTCTAAGAAGCAATTAATGGGGGCCATGAACCAAAAATAACAACTGAGCAACAGCAACAACTTCAACTGACTTACGGATCAAAAAGCCGTCAAACATTTACAAGTTTAACTGAGCAATAATACTAGTCATAATTTCATATGGATGCGATAGCAGGCTCTAAATTTAGGTAAGAGGTTAAAAGCGATGCCCCATAATATGACCCTGAGTTGTAAAGTAATTTTTAACTTATTAATTTTATATATATTTTTTTGTCATTGTTGATAATGATTTAATTATGAATTTGTTTTATAACTAATTAATAATTTAATGTCTTCACTGTCGTATAGCGATGTGGACGAGTATGGCTTCAAGCGGGGCGATAAGTTCGACTACAAGGCCTATGGAAAGTTCATGGATAGTTACTTAAAAACACTGACGCGGCGACGCATCAAATGGGACGCTTTATTGAAACAGAATCCAGATCTCAGCCTGCTCAGTCCGACGCTAAAGCGATATATTCGCAAGGGTATACCGGGGCCATATCGAACCAATGTTTGGATGGCAATTACTGGAGCCGATGTGCAAATGAAAAAACAGCCCAATCTATATAGTAGTTTATTAAATATTCAGCATTTTAATAAGGAAATAAGCGATTCCATATCAATCGATCTACCTCGTACTTTTCCCGACAATATCAACTTCGATTTAGAAAAGGAGCGTCTCTTCAACATACTTTGCGCCTATGCACACCATAATCGTGAGATTGGCTACTGCCAGGGTCTTAATTATATAGCCGGACTACTGCTCATTGTCACCAAAGATGAGGAGAAGTCCTTTTGGCTGCTTAAGTATATAGTTGAGCAAATTACACCACAATATCATTCACATAATATGGCCAATCTTTTGCGTGATTTGGCTGTATTTAGAGAGCTGGTGATTAGGCGTATACCGGAAGTAAATCGGCATCTGGAAGACTTGGGTGAGTTTTGGACACTCTATTATATGGAACCATATAAATACTATTTTTAATTACAGGCTTGCCCTATGCGGTGATAGCCAGTAAGTGGTTCATCTGCATATTCGCAGAGGTTCTCCCCGTGGAAACTGTCCTACGAATATGGGATTGTGTCTTCGCCGAGGGCTATAAGGTAAGTTAACTTACAGTATAAATGGTCTTTGACTAATGTTTACCAACTGCTTTTTTTTTAGATTATATTTCGTGCAGCTTTGGCCTTGTTTACGACACACAAAAGTGCAATATTGAACTGCAATGAGATCGCGACTCTGGCAAATCTGTTTCGCGAACTTATGATAAAGGATAGCATAGTCACCAACTGCCATAGCTTTATAGAATCTATGTTTGCTTTGCGTTTGAAACGCAACGAAATTGAGAGCTTGCGGAAAGTATCCGTACTAAATGGAAACTAAGCAACCAATCAAAGACAGGCCAATGGAAACAAAGACCCACATAGTATCAAACCAGAACAAAAACAAAAGGAAGCAATCGTAAAATTCAATTATTAGAGATGTAGCTTAAATGTGTCCAAAGCTTAGTAGATACTTGTATGTAACATTTTGTGTATTTGTTGTATAGCCTCATTGTAGTCAATGTATTTTGAGTATTATTCGAAACAAAACTAAATATGAAATACCAAAGTCAAATTCCAATTCGATAAACAAACATATTTAACGACATACACACATATGTTCAATTGGGTGTATTTATTAGTAGTAGACGTAGTTGTTGCCAAAAAAGAAGATTCAAAACTAACAAATCTAAAATATGTTTTCCGCCTATACGCTACATACACAAAAATGATGTTGATAATGTATGTTTGTAAATGTATTCATTCATGCGTATTTTGCGTTTTATTTAATTCTCTTGTTGATCAAAGAAGTATTTATTTTTTTTATATGTATACACTTTATATGTCGCTACGTGCGTAGTACATTTCTAGATTATACATGTAATATGTATTTTATAAATGGCGCTTAAATTGTTATATAGTTGGAAATGCCTAACTGCTAGTTGCTCGCTATGTACAAACAAGAAACAAACGAAAGAAGAAACCAACACAGAACTCACTATAACTGTTTACTATATAGATATGTATTTATAGTTTGTCGTAGAAATACTCACTGTCTACACTGATACTATACGTATATCTTGACATATAATTTAAGGAATTGATTTGTTAACAAATGTATACACAGTGTATGTCTGCCATTTAGGCAAAACAACGAACTAGCAAACAAACACAAACTAAAAATGCTTCAAAGTGTCGTCGTTTGTTTAGTGCAACTAAAATGCTTTTTAAATAAATATTATTGCTCTTTGTTAGAAAATGAGATTGTCTTTCTTATAAAAATTTATTTTATTAAGATATAGATACATGGTTGATTAGCATACATACTGGGAAGACATTTATTGGTTATTTTGTATTTTAACTGCGATTAACAGTCCAGCTGAATATGGGTAACATAGCATACTTTTTGGAGTTTCATAAATGGACCTAATTTAGTACGCACAATCAGACTTGTGGTACTTGTGGGGCATATATGGAATAGTTGAAATGATTCGATTTTCTTTACCTGTTTTTTTACCAACTGGTTTAAAATTTTCCATTTAAATTTGTTTTCTCTTGTGCCATGTCTATAGCATACCTTGTAATTTAACATCGATTTCAAAGAATATTAATCAATATTTATAGTGGTTTTTTCGTTCGTAGCTTCTAATTTGATTACCACTTGGAATATTTGGAATATTCATTGTTAAACGATTGCAATTATAAACACTGATTTAGTCTATGTATCCAATCGCAGACAAATTTGTATATAATGCGCTTATGGCATGCCACAATGTGCACCACACATTGGCTCCGAGGACAATGCCAGCGATGTGAGCAAAGTTCGACGCCCGGGATGCACTCCCAGATTCTCCCAATTGATCCAGGAGAGGCGAGCCGTTAGATCGCTCGTATTCCAATTAGCCCGATCCGCTTTGATCTCACCACGCAGGCACTTCTCCACATATGTGAGCGGGTCGTATTCCGTTAGCAACACCTCCCGTAATAGTGATATATAGGCAATGGCCAGGCGCAGGGTATCAATCTTGCTCAGACGCTTCTCATATGGAAATGTGGGCACATGAACCCGCAGCTCATCGAATGCGGAATTGATACTACTGCAGAGCGCAAAAGAAAGAGAAGAGACATAGAAATGCTCATTAGTAGGCTGACCCACAGAGTGCAGGGTTTAACTAAGTGTGAAATGGAAAAGACCATTTAGTGTACCCAGTAGGTGCGGACCTCTGGATGCGTTTCCTTTCTCGCACGTTTGCCTGTTGTCTTTGGATCTTGTAGCTGGAAGCAGCAGCTGCACCATAGTTAGCATTCGATGGTCCCGCTCCCGTGCTAGAACCTAATGATCCACCTGCACCTACACCGCCTCCACCTCCAGCACCGCCACCCCCACTGCTGCTAGCTGTTGGACTATTGCACATCATGGGCGTGGCACTATTGGAATTGAGCCCCACCAGTGTGTTGGTATTAGTGGAGGAGTCCAGCAGGTTTTCTGAAAATATTATAAAGTTATGTAACTGCTACTTAGGATATGTATTTATTTACACTTTTTTTTTTATTCTGTTCACTCATTTAATTTCTTCACTTGGCTCTAATTTAAAAACTTGGTATGAATAATTTTTAGCCGCAGGCAATGCATACTTTTGAGTCGGATATATCTAAGGGCATTCGAACTATTCAAATGTATCGAAAGTTGTATTCAAAAGCTGTATTTTTCTCCGAGATCTTGTAAACATTGTATATCATACAACTTTCTTAGAAACAATGAATTATTAATTGAGCTATATTAATCAACCTATCCTGACTAATAAACTATTGGTTGAGATTGGGTTGCTATATTCTAAATTTACTATATGTCCACAAGCTACTTTTTTTGCGCATCGAATATATCTTTCCTTTCTCTGCAAACTTACCGTTTCCGTGTTGTAAGTAATGCTGTTGAATGTGCCGCAAATTGTTGGAGCTCAGACGCAGACCAGAACCGCCAGACGAAATGCCTCCAGCTGCACCGCCGACGCCACTCTGATGTTGACCCGCATAGATGCAGGAGGGCAGTTCATTAATTAGATCGTCGTCAAAGTTATGATAGGGTAAATGGCTGTTAAGAAAATGTAAAATTTAAAGTAACAAATAAAACTTGCCGTCGGAAAGTATTTTTGGATTTTATTTGGGAAAACTCATTTAAGTTTCTTATTTAAGCTTTTTCTTTGAAGTAACAATCTTATATTTTTATGTATTTAATATCTATTTCTCTATTTTCACTATTTTTGTCTCACCTTATGGGTGGGGAGGAGGACGAATCTGGTAATTGATTGCGCGACATTTTATTTTCTTATATTTTGCAAACTTCTTTGCTTTTATACTTTTGAGTATATTTAATAGACGCGCTTGCGATGTCCAATAAGTTAAAATGTGTAATGAGCTCATCTCCTGGGAATTCTGTGCCTTTTATAGCAGAGTCAGATCCAATTGGAATTGCCACAACTCTGCCAGGGTCTGCAATGTGTTTGGTATCATCAACCCCTAAACGTCCTTGCAACTATTCGCCCGGATTCTGTGGGCGGAGCTTGTCAAGTACTACAGGGTGATTTCGTGCAAAGCGACTTCACGGCGTAAGCTGTGAGAAATTTATAGGGCATATCTCTTCAAGGAGACCAATTTTTATTGGAAGTTAATTTACATAGTTAGTCTGACATATTAAAATTATTATTTTGATCTGGGTATGTCTTATTATATATATATATATATATATATATATATATATATATATATATATATATATGTGATATATATTCCTAATTTTTAAATCTGTATTTTACTCACTTTGAAACATTTTTAAAATAGTTATATTACTTGGTTTGAACAAAAAAAAAAAAATAACACGAAATGTTCCTTAATCACATTGGACATTTTGATTTATTATAAAGGAAAAGTATATTAAAAAGGAATCATTTATAACAGTGTAAGTTGAAAGTCATGTAAATTTTGTTCTAATCATTGTATAAAAATAAAACATAAACCACATTCATAATAGTTTCATATAAATTCTATATAAACAACACAACCTAAGACATTACGCGAGTTAATTAAAGCTAGATTTAAGAAATATATATACTATATAGGTAGTAATTAAGATAATATTTATTGCACTAATTCGTGTGATAAATTATTACTTACAGAATTGGAATTAAAAAAATGAAACTAAAAAGCTGATAATTGAATCTTATATTTTATTTATTTATGTTAAATCATATAAACATTTATTTCCATAAATGCATATTTCTGATACATTTTTTTTAAATTGATTGAGTATAAATCTTTAAAATGTAATTAATCGAAATTTATAACATTATTATTATTATGTTAAAACTCTTCTCAATGCATGTAAAGTGTGCTTTGTAGTCTCTATAACTGATTACGTTGCCAAGCTTATATTGTTTGCTTCACCTGTTTTTGACATTTTGCCATTATACTTCGCACAGCAGGCAGCAGCCATGTTTGTGCGCCTGTCAGCTTTCTGTACGTACGCACAGAATAAGGGGGCCGCTGAGAGAGAATCACTCTCTGCATATCTCTCTCGAACTTTACCCACATGGAATCCAGCTTAGTTTAGTGGCATATGCGTCACAAGGTTCTCAACAAGTAACATGGACTGTTAGTAATGTGAGATCAACATAGTGGCGGCAGAGCTGATCGTGATCCAACCTGTTGACATTCTGGGCACGAGACACGAGAGGGTTCATCGAAGCTGTGAGATTCCCACGAGACCTCAAATTGAGCGCAAAACTGCAAAACAATTAGACCACTGCCGATAGCGGACAGTAAAGATTCACGGCTCATTAAACAAATGCTACACTATCTGCATAGAGTGTCAGTCCTACGTATACATTGCTGTTGTGTATATCTGTAGCTGAAAGGGAACCACTTGAAACCGCAAAATTGTCAACGCCAGACAAACAGGGCAATTGTTGAAATTGAATTATGTTTATTTGATGTTTTGGTTTACGCACAAATTAGCTACGTCAGAGTTCTCGCCCCGCCCAGCGGCAGGCGACCAGGTCGTGTGCTCGCTGTAACCCCGAGGCGCGAAAAACCAGCGCCGGCAAAAGTCGAACAGTGCCAGACAATATGCTAGGGCGGACGCGGATGCGCAAACCTTTTCATTACCAGTCAAATTGGTCGTCGCACGCGCCGGCGCACACTCCGCGGCACAAAGCTGATGACAGTAATCAGTTTTGATGCAGGGTAAGTGCCCCGGCGCCTATATCCTGAATATATGTGTACGAATACGAGCCCAAAGCTGACATCCTTAAGTGAAATCTTGTTACAAACCAATGTAAACACGATTGTTAATTTAACTTTTGCAATCGCTGCAGCCACCCCCGATGACTGGTAGTTTACTATACTAGCTGTTGTTGTTGTTGTTGTTGGTAGTGCTATTGTTGTTGTTGGTAGAATGCGGCGGATATGTCATTGGACCACAATTAAATTATCGCATTTCAAACGAGTGCACCCGAGAGCAAGGCGATAATCTCCAATCCACACTTCTTTCCACTTGGACTTGACCGACTGTGGGAACAAACGGAAATAAATAATATACACTCATTTGATTTGCATATTATCGTACTTGTCGGCTTTAAGCCTGCCAAACATAATAATTGGGCTTATACATTTATTTTGAAATGGGTTACATTTTTTTTTTCAATTTGAGAACAATAATTTCACATCTATTCAGGTACTCAGCTTGTAATATTTTTAAAGCTAATGTCTTCTACTTGATATTATGGAAACCATTTATAATTATTTTATTTCTTCATTTTATTCATAAAATTATTAATTATGAAATGATATTTTCGATATTAATAATAATTTTGTCGATATGTTCTTATCTACTTAATTCAGTCTTTGTATAGGGTGTTGGGTGTACGTATGACTATTCAGTGTTGTTGTTCATAATATTAAAAATAATAAATAATTAGATAGGGGAAAATATAATAATATAGCTCCACCAAAGTCTAATTGTGCCTAGCAAATGAAAAGTTAGGTGTTGTAATGGGAATCAAATAAAAAAAATACATGAAAATGTTATTAATCGTAAGTTCGGAAGCTAAATTCAAACAAAACATAAAATATATTTAAAGTATTAGAGTATATTTAAATTTTGAAGATGTGCAAATAAAATGCATAAATGCATAATGCCACAATCGATTGAGCCTCGAACATTAAACAGCAACTGCAACTTTAATCGTAGACTTACGACTATTTTATAAAAAACTAAATGAAGTTTTCTTATATAATATAAAATCTGCCAATAAGTCAAGAATAACAAAGTAAGGTATTTTAAACCTTTCGCTCAATATAGTAGAGCACTCAGCTCAAATTCCCATGATAAAAATATAATTTTTATCTCTAATCCAAGCGCTGTCCCATCATTTAAAAAAAAATTACTTCAAGGGTTGGCAAACAACAACAACAACAACAGAATCAACAAAACAGATTGATAGTGTCAAGGAGTATTCAACTGGAGCAGCACCCATCAAACACACTCACACACCACCGTTGTGCTAACCCAGTCTCTGGTTGCCTGAACCAGGAACTTGGGTCTGGAACATATCGATTAGCGTTTTGCATCCACATCAGAAATGCAGAGAGCAAATTTTTCTGTGAATTTCTGCGCTGACACACGACCAGCAAGCAGCGGGCATTTTTGACGCAGGATAATCCCACCCCAGCCCTATTCCGCAGTCGCACCCCCAACCCTCGACCACAATTCGTTGAGGCTGTTTGAGCTGTTTAAAGCAATTGTCTGCGAAATTGTTTGTTTATTTTGATGTTGTTTAATGCGTGCTAAATCTCTGCCATATTATGCGGTTACGGTTGAGAAATATCCTGGGAAAAGTAAACAGCTTCAGTGCCTCCGGAGCGTGGTGAATTCAAGTTAGGATATTTTGAAAGCTTTTTGAGTGCTTTTTGGTTCGAAACCCATCTTGGTGGTGTTTTTGGGCTATGCACTTGCGAAAAAGATTTTGTTGGCATAACTTTGCAAAACTGTTGGGTTGAATTCGTCTTGATTCGTCGCAATCTAATCTTGTGGATATTAATAAAGCGAAGACGAAGTAAACAAATCATTTTATAAGCATTTATTTACTGAACAAAATGTATTGTATCGATTGATGCAAAAGTACTCATGTTTGAAGTATATATGATTAATCTGACTTGCTTGAAGCAGTAGCATCCTTACTTTTATATCTCAATATCTTCGTATTTCGTATGAAATTATAAAGTCTCCAAAAGAATCGTTCTACAAGCTGAAATAGCATATTATATGAGTATCTATATTAGTAAGACTTAATTATTGGTTGGATCGCTTCTCACATCATTTTAGTTCGCAGTGCCTAAGACATATTAACAGATATTTTGTGTAAACTTAGCAACTACTTACTAAATATGTTCAAATATGGTATGCCATCATTATTATTTGTTTAACTAAAAACTTCGGGGTTATTTCAGTTCAACACGATGTCTGGCTATATTATTCAGCTGTCAATTAAATTCATACTCGAGTTTTACGTTTGTGTTTTGCTTTTATTTTTTTTGCTAAACAAATGAGAATACTTTAAATACATTCAATGAACGTGTAAATACATTTTAATGGGCCAATCCCACAACAGCACCCATCCCATTCGCATTCCCATTCCGTATTCCATTGCCACAGCTCTTGACGTTGCCCACTCTCAATTATAAAAGCAGACCAAAACAAACACGACAAAAACCGGCAGCAGCAGCAGCAGCACTGCGAATTTATCATTTTGGTCATTTTATTTTATTTTATTTTTTTTTTGGGGGGTTACTCAATTCAGTTTGTTGCCGTAGTCGCAGTCGCCGAGACAGTGCGACTCAATGGCCAGAGACGGTACTGAACAAAACTGTGAAGTGAAGTGAAGTGAACAGAAGTGAAGCGACTTTAAGGCTGGCCAGAGCAGTGCTTAGTCAGTTAGTTGGCCGCTGTCCGTTGCACAGTTCGCACGTTGCGCATAAAAACTAAAAACGGCAAGCAAATAAAAATCAAAAACAATATAGAAACCGTAACTGTAACACTAAAAAGTATATATATATATATATATATATACATATATAAATATATATATAGCAGTATAGCAGTAAGCAACCAACGCCCCAATCGATTCACATTTGCAAAAGTTGATGAAAAGCAAATCCCGCAATCCTAAAACGGAACAAATGCCAGCACGTTTGCCCAATTTGGAATATTTAGTGCTGGTAATTGAAACGTGATATTTGTGGAGCAAGTGTGCAGTTCTAACTACACTAAACAGTGTGTCGCGTATATAGAAATTATAATTGTAGGGCTACTAACTAACGATTGCTACTGCTACTGTCGTACTCGTTGTCATATTAAATCGCATGGTCAAGTGGTATGGCGAATGCCGGTGATAAGCGTGCCCGCTGATAAGAAGGGGGCGCCAAGTCGTAAATAAAAATAAAGCGAAATCAAAGCTCAAATTTGCCAATTTGCGCCTCATAATAATTAGTTAATGTCCATGCATGCTTATAATTTCTACACAAAGTACAAGAACAGAACAAAAAATAAAGCTCGTACAAAATGCCAAAACATCAAAGCGCTGCTGGCTTAAACCACGACATCCCAACTGGCATGGAACTCGAACTGGAGCTGGAGCTGCCGTTGCTGTCATCCAAGGAGCAGGCAAAAAGTGAGTAACAGACACGCGCCACTACTTGGCTATTAAACCAGTTAAGTTGGTCAACCAAAACAAACTGGCGCACACTCAAATACAAACATATCAATGGTTATATATACAGGCGCAGGTCTTGCCCATAAATCAGTGACATTTGCACATTGCAAGTGGAGCCCGCTTGTGAAGCTAAACGAACTGTGCTCCGGAGCTGGCACGATTTCTGTTCTAATCAAATGCGAATACGAAATATTTGTCTTAAACTTATGATAATTGCTAAGCGTCCAGAAATCTAATTAGAATACGTATATATATATGGTATCGCAGATATGGAAATTGCTACAGAAACAGCTCTTTAGAGTATCTTAATCAACGGCGCCGTCTCCCGCTGCGTTTCTGTATTCATTGATAAAAACAACAACGTTTAGTTATTTATTTAAGTGTTGGCAAGTGAGAAATAAACAAAATGCAAATTTAACTTTGATTTTGAACAAAAACAACAGCAATATCAAAGCTTATTCAATAAGCTTACAAATGCGCGCCAAAACGATAAGCGTTTATCACATGCGATTTTTTGTATCATGCGAGAATCTTAACAAATTTAATAAATACGACGAAATCAATGTGAATATTCACAAGTGCATAGTTTTTCTAACTTTTGCGCATTATTGTCTATTTGTACTTTGAACCTGTGAAGCAATATTGAAGCAATTTATTTTTTATTAGTCATACGACAAACTGAACTATTTTTTGCATTTATTGACATATTATAAGCATCCGTAATTATTTAAATTGGGGGAACAGTTCCTTGACTAATTTCTATGTAAAGATAATCGTTCTGGGGAAAGCCAAAGATTGCAGGCTTTGTTGTTTGACATAAAGAACCTGCTGTTTTATTTGGATTATTAATTAGTATGTTGTTTAATTTGTTTACCAACTTTATATACCAGCATTTGCAAACATTTGAAATAAGCAAAACTGACTCTTTGCCTTAGGTGATGTTTCACACAATTAGCGTCAATAAAGCAGCTAAACAACCTTTCGTAATTATTTTTTGTTTGCATACATACACAGTTGCATATTAAATAAAAGATCTTCGTACAATGTTTTTCTTTCTTTATTCAAAGCAAATATTGGCTTAAGAGTGGCAACCACAATCTTGCAATTAAGAGGCAACCATGAGTCGAGTGCATTGTCTACGCTCAAAATAATGCAGTCCATAAAATATTTGTTTATATATTTGTTTATTTATATTCATTATTAAAGAGATCACATTATTATTTTAAAAAATATATATATATGTAAATATATAGCATTAAAAGTCTAGAGATAAACATTAATCGAATTGACACCTGATACGTTGGACATTAAAAATTGGACTGTTATTCAACTCAGCATAATGAAATTCAAATTATTTAATCAAACATTACATATATTACATCTGTATTCTCGCTTTTGTCAACAATATCAATACTACAATGAAAATAATAACAAACAACCAGCCGCAAGCGTAAATTGTCATTAATCATCTCGACACGTCATCATCATAATCATCACCCACCCGAAAAAAGCAACAAAACCTCACAACAAGCAACAATACGCAAATGTCAACAAATTGTCAGCATTTTGTTGATGTGATCGTCGACCAACGATCGGCACTAGCCACGTGCCACGTCTAATAGACTGGCAAATAGAGTGTGATGTTAGTTATAGCCATTGTCATTAATATTATAAATATTAGCAGCAAACTGCAGCTAGATGCGATTGTGATGAGACCATTACTCATATTTGTGTATTGATATATTCTTTTCGCTTTAAATTTGAAATATAAGCAAGTGTGGATTTGCGTGATTGACAAGTCGAAAACTGAGTACCCTTTCATGAGCTTAAATGCTTAAGTTTTAAAATATATCAAAGGCTTGTTAAGTAAATTAGTACTTCTGGATTTGGTGAAACTCAGTTAAACGTATTTATTTTTACTTTGTTTAATTTACTTTCTTATTTTATAAAATGATACTCGTCGTAAAACATTGATATAGTAAAAAAACAAATCTATTTAATATTTAAAATTTGAACTATTTTTAATTAATATGACATAAGTAAATTCAAGACAAGTTTTAGCTTAATATGCTTGGTGAAGTTCTCGCATTGTTGTCTACAAATAGTGTATAGGAAAATCGCTGAGTAAAACGATGCCGGCGATTAAGTAACAACAGCAACAGTTTTTCGCGCCAAGCGAGGCTAGTTAAGAAAGTGTAAGCAAAGAGAAAACCAGCAAAGAGAGCGCGCGCTGCTGGTGCAGTAACAGCAGCAGCTGATAGAACATCGCCGTCGACGCTGACTGCGAAAGAATGGTCTTAGCGCAGCATGAGCAGGCCCACAGCAGCCCCAACAGCAATTGGCGCTTTCGCCATCGACGACGTCAACGTTGGCATCAGCGCTGCTGGCGCTGCACAGTAGGCTAGAATTCAAATTTCCTAGAATTTCCAAATGTACATTTTGAAATGACAAATATATATGGGCTTTTATAATTTTAAAATATTTATACTTGACAAATATATTTAATCTCCAATGAGAATTGAGAGAGACAAATTTTTTAGATCAATGTCCTGTCATATTTCCATTCTTTGCAGATGTATGCGTACTTAATATTTTTATTTTTGCCTCAATGAGTATACATTAATAAAGTTTTGAAGAAAATGTCCGAAACTGACAGATTTAAAGAGAATGTTCGAAATTAAAAACAGAGATTTTCTAAAAGCATTTGAACATCTCTTTCAATCAATTTGAGGAATTATATTTAAAAGATATACAAGATACAAATTGCTGACTTGCAGGCTAAAATAAATATAGTTAAGACTACTGCATATGTAAATAATTTAAATGTATTAATGAAATTTTTGGCGTGAAAACTAAATTGGATTTCTGCTGAGAGAATTAGATAACTGACCACAGTACTTTAGCGTTGCGTGCAGGAGCAAAAGTTATAAAAGTTCTTCGCAATTCGCACGAGCGCTCAGTTGCTCTCGGTGATTCGTTGTGGTTGTGTGAAATTTTGCCGCAGCAGCATCAGCAGCAACAACAGCAGCAACAACAACAACGAGAAGAACAATAGCATCGGACAGAGACGACATTGTCGCCAACGCCATCGCAATCGCAATCGCCATAGAAAATCATAAGAAGCAACAGCAGGAAGAGTTTTTCGTGTGAGCAGCCAAAGACAAAGCGTTTTGTGGGTGCGTGAGTGCGCATAGTATAAAATTAAATAAATAAATTAAACAGCAGCAACAATAAATGCGAGCGTCAACAACATTGTTATGCATATATATATTTATACAAATATGTGCCAATATAGAAATGCTTATACTTATAGTTTTTGTTGTACTATGTTTATAAGTATAAGTATGAATACTGAAGGCAGCCCGACAATGTTTGGACAACTATGACGATATGTTCAGTTAAATAGAGCATATTAGACAGGGCGGACAGCCCACATGGTAGCAATAACAACAACAAAAATAACATCAGCAGATATTTATTTCATACTTTTGGATTTTGCTTTTTTTCAAGAGCCATCGTTTTTTCTAAACACATTTCATTCCTCATTAACTCTATTATAAGCAAAAAAAATTATTATATTTATATTAAGTTGGGTTTTGTTGTTGTTGTTGTTATTGTTGTTATTGCACGTTGCCCCGCTCGCATTTGTTTTCCAAATTGGAAATTGCTGTCAGTTGAGCAAAGCGCGCGCGAAAAAGTTCGTTCGTCACACCACCCGGTGTATATTCAACAAATGCCAAATACATTCTCTCGTGCCCGCTCTGGAATATTTATTAACAAAACCGCAATTATAAATTACAGCTGCAGTTACAAGTGCATTGCGACAGCAAAACCAAATTCAAAAAAATATTCCAAAAGAAACGATTTTGTCTCTCTCGCAACGCGTCGTATGCGTAATATTATAAACTAGAATAAGACTCGTTGAATTCGTCAGAAGCCCATTAAATAACCATAACAACAAAAACAATTGAAGAGAGTCGGTTTTATGTGTCAGTTTCCGTTTGGTGCGATTTTAAAAATTGATCAAAAACGCAACGAGCAGTGAAACGCGTCAACGCGAATAGGGGACTTCCGCGTCAAGACATAAAAACATCAGCAACAGGACGCGCGTTAAGGAAATCAGACAGTCAGTTAGCAGGCAGGCAACAGCTTTCATAGAGTGCCAATTGTGCAGCAGAACGAGTTTCAGGATTTGAACACGTCTAGGAGCAGCAGCAGCAGCAACAGAAAAAGTAACAACAGCAACTCGTACTGTGTCCATAAGGTAAGCTCATTACGGATACTGGCAACCTCGCCATGTTGACAACAGCAGTAGCAGCAGCAGCAGTAGCAACAGCATCCACATCTTTAGAGCTGCTCCTGATGCTTGCATGGCCCGCGGATGTGCCGTCAGCGGTGTTTGCTTTGCTTTTGTTTATTTATTTGCCAGTTTTCATGTCTGTATGTCTTTCTATTTTATTTTGTCTCTGTTTGTGCGCAAATAGCAACAACAACAATGACAACAACAACAGGAACAACAATAAGGATAATAACGACAGCAAGCAACAACAATGAGTTTATCTTGACAGATTGCTGAGCAGCTGCCTCAACTTTCTATCCACACACACAAATACCTCAAATCTAGATATATGTTTATATGTAGTAAATATATTTGTTCGCGATTCTCAAAACTCATCGTTAGCCCATAAATGTGCTGTTATACGACCCATAGAACTAATTTGATTTCTTGTCAGTACGAATACATGTTCTATATCAGAGCATATCAAAATATACAAAGTTATCTTACGATCAAACTTATCTAGAAATTGAGTAGAAGATGATGTGACGAACAATTTGGTGTCCATTTTTCTTTTTTATGATCGTTGTGGTTATTGCCATTTTAATTGGTAGGGAATATTTTGGTAAGATAAGTTAATTGCAAGTTGAAGGTATTTATAGAAATCCTCTTCCGCGATTGCGTAAAAGGAATAATAAAGCTGATAATAGAATCTTAAAAATCTTAGAATAGGTTAACAATATTCATAAAAAATATAGCGGGGGTCTTGTATTGTGATTTGAGAAAACAGCGATTAATGAAAGTATAAAGCACTCAGCGTGCCATATAAATTTAGCAGCAATAAATCTGTCTGTCATCAAATGTTAAAGGCCTACATGCCACAAGAGCACGGCTAAGGCCCCTATCCATGCATCCAATTGGAATTGGAATCGGAACCTTAACACTGCATGCAAAAACAAAAATAAAAGATAAGTCGAAAAATAGAAAGAATAGTGATTCAAACAGGGACACAAACATTGCTGGCAATCACCTGGCGCCGGTTGCCGCCGCCTCCAGTTATCCAGTCATCGATGTTGGGTTATGCTAATGGCGGAAGCTCTGCCTCCACAACGACTGATTGGAAGCGCATAAAAGTAGCAAATCAGTGCGCACTTTGAAATTGAAATTGTAATCAAAGGCGCTCTCAATGTGGTATGTCAGAATGTGGCGTGGGGCATTTCTGTGTGTTTGTGTGTAGTAGGATTATCGCTGCTTAGCTGGCTAAATTTGAAATTGCCAAACGATTTGCTATTCGATTAAGAAGACAACAGCTGCAAGGGCAGTTCCCAACATGGAAGCATTAACAACAAGAGCAACACACAAACAGACATATAAATCGAAATAGAAATAGATTTGCAAATTCATGTTCACAATAATGGACGTTTATACATATATTAAAAAAAAAAATCGCGCACAGCGAAAATAAGGATACTCATGGATGCTCATGGCACTGATGACCTACATTTTGGTAGCCCAGCTCCACACAAAAAGAAAGATGTATAAATTTTAGCCAGGCACAGGGGAACGGGCGTATCTCGGTTAGTTTGTTTACAACAAATGCGAAAATCATGAAGCGACCGACAGGCAGCCAGGCAGCCAGGCAGGCAGGCACCCAGGCAACCCAGCAGACAGCAACTGGACACCAGTCGACGGAAGGAAGTTTGTAAGGACCCTTCAATGTTGCAGGACAATGGCAGAGAGCTAGTGCGGGCTGCGGACAAGCCGGGTCTGCCAATATTGCAATGTACTATTCTCAGATACTTTTTTCCATTTTGCTGCTATTGTAGAATATTTAATTTTTGCAAAATAAAAGATGTACAGGTTTCAGGCAGGTGAATTTTCACAAAAGCAACATTTGCATAATATATCAACACATTTTACAGTTTACTACCAAAAGGTAACACACACACAATACACGCCCACCTCATTAATTCTGAGAATATGTAAATCATTGTAAATGCCAAACAATTGATTTGATTTCATTTGATTTTCGAGTGTGTGTGTGGGTGTGTGAGTGTGCTTCCTTCTTTTCAATCATTTGGCATAAATATTTCGTACTCCTTTTATGAGCGTTGTTGACAACATTGTCAAACTGATTTCAATTTGTGCTCATCAAATGTGTGCTGGGCTAAACGATTCGATTCTTACGAGCTTATGTCCTCCTTTGAATTTTAGGACCATAAAAAAAGCCACATTAGGATATAAGAGTTGCAAATGTGGGACAAGAAATTGGTTATTTGCCTCACATTTTGCTTGCTATATACACTTTAGGTATTATAATATTGAATACAAAGGCAGAAGGCAAATATCAAAAAGAACATATTTATTTGCAATAGAACCATTGGCCAAGTAAAAGTGAAAAATGAACAACAAGTGTACAATATCATTTTAAAGTAGATCAGTAGCAAACATATTTAGTTTCTAAACAGTTATAGTACTTTGAATTGTATTTTTATTTTATTTATTTAGACAATTTAATTATTTATATATTATATTTTTCCGCTCTAAAATAGTTTACATAATCCATTTTTAACCATTTTTACAATTTTTAAATATTTTTAGATCTTTATTTATTGCCAATAAAGTTTACACATTTGGTGAATTCGAAATGGATGCTGAAAAATTCAAACACAAGAAATTCCTTCAATATTCTAATGATTTACGAAATCGTTTAAACTCAAACATATATTTTGTATATTTCGCCAGCTTTGAAGTTATTATTATTAGAATAGCTCGGAATGTACAAATTTGAATTGTGTTGAACATAAATCTGTTGGTAAATTCACATAAAAACTCTTTTGAAAAATCTGTGTGTACATTTTCATAAAGAATCCGAAATTACTTGCACATATTTTGCAGTGTATAAATCGCCCCACAGGGCGTAAGATTTACTGAACGATTAGTCGCAATAGTTTGCAATAAATCTCTAGCAAATTATAACTAACCGAAATAACATTATTTCGACGATTTGGCGGGCATATTTGTTTGCTTTCACTGTGTGTTTCAATTTTTCGCTGTTTCTGCTCGGTTTATTTATGCGTTCAAAGGCTAAAATCAATATCGTTAATTGCAAGGCGTGAAAAGTTCAATGCAGCACGTACATCGGGCAGTCAAAAAGTTTAATGGCTTTTGATGCCCATAAAACGACTCACAAATAACGTAAATTGGGGAAAAATTCAAAATCAATTTACGGTATTTGCCCCTAATGATGTGGCTGACGAGCAAGATCCGTAGACGTGACAATAAAACGCACTAGTTAGGCTATGCCGTCCGAACAACATGCTCATGCCATATTCAAATGTCGAAATATTACTCATAGGCAGAAAAAATGGTTTTCTTATCCGAGCAGTCCCATCTCGACGTGGGGATATTGTTGCAATTAGACTGACAAGTGATGAGTTCCCTCGACGACAGATCGGCCGGTGCCAGTGATGGACTGTCATCCGGATAAATGTCGGCATCTTAGTCGCTCTGTGGAACAACGGAAGCTGTCGACGCTTAAGAGCTAACTAAACTACTAACTATATGAGTGTGTGTAAAGATTACGATTACTATTACCCACTTGGCAGTTTTCTACAATTCAAATACGAGCACACAGCCAGCTGATGTCGATGCAGAGGCTTTCGCTGTGGCAACGGTAGAGGCAGCGGTTGGGGAAGGGGCAGAAGCAGGAGCAGACGTTGAATGCATTATAAACAAATCCTATAAATGTGCAAATTGCCTGGCAACGTCATTGGGCGTCCTCCCCTCTCCATCATCATCATCATCATCATCATCATCATCATCATCATCATCAACCCCGTCATCAGTATCATCAGCACCGTCATCCTCATCATTATCATCAACATCTCATAGACATAGGATGAAAGTGAATGCACTTTTATATGCATGGCTGCTAATTACAGCGACAGCTTGTCTATCTCTCAGTCGACTGCAGTACGCCCTCTCCGCCTCCTTCTCCTTATCCACCGACGCAATTGTAGCCATGTCTCCCCACAGCTAAACGATTTCTTTTGTATGTAATTATTTAGCACATTTATGTTCTTCCTTTCTTTTTTTTATATCATATTATTTTCGTCACTATTGGCTTTAGCAATATAAATACACGATAGCAGCTAATTGCCGTTATTTGGGGAAAAGCTTGCATCTTGGCATTTTAATTGTCAATTGCAATTAAGTGCAGATTGTACACCAGGGTTAATGTCTTTACAATGATTATTTGCTGAAAAATTGTACAATTGTCTTTAAGAGTAATATCTTCTTAACTGAAAGCGAACTCAAACTGTAGAATATGTCGTTATATATTCATAGAAGAGTTATGGTAACTTCGTGTTCAGCTATGCTCGTCGAAAATAATAATCAACATAAATATTGAGGGAAAAAAAAAACAATTTTTCTTATAAATTTCACTCATAATAGAATATATAAATACATCCTCTAAACGAATAAGCAAATTGTACAGCTCAAAGAGAGTTTACATAAATATATAGTATTTGTAAAACCTGGCCAATTGACACTAGATAAGGAATTAATTTATATTTCTGTGCATAATGATGATGTACTAGCATATTTATTTCTGTGCATAATGACGATGTACTAGCATATATAAATTTATTACTTACGCGCAAAGATAATTAATTATTAATCTCATTGTGGCTCATTGTGAAACTTTCTCAGCACCCAGTTAATTTACGAACGGCTTGTCAGCTTTCAATTAATTATACATATATGAATAAACCTAGACGCTGATACTGGTGTCGGCGCCGTTGTTAAAGGGGCCTGGACTTGGGCTTTGAGTGCTGGCATTGACTTTTCAATTGAAACAAATCATTATTTGAGCATCGTGTATATCTTTTTCAATTAAGCGAGCGACGAGCAGCGTCGAGCACAGGCAGTTGAAGCGTGTCAAAAGATCGCGCCAAACGCATCCGTATCGGATATCGTAATACAGACCACCAAGTGAACTTGACTTTGAGGGGTATGGGAATGTAAATACATATGCATTTGCATAAAATTTTATGATCGAAATATTCATAGATTAACTTGACTATGTGATAGTAATTAGCAATTTGCATGGACCGTTGCAACTTAATTTGCATAGTGTGCGAATTAATGTACGATGTGAGATGTGGGAATGAAACCGGGTGTTTGTAAACAAAAATACATGCGCTCTTTAAGGCAACCCACTCGCAGTGGGGTAGCATAAACCAGATCACACAATTAATGCCATCTACGTCAGTCCGCCAACACTGAGCATTAAATCACAAAGCAAATTTACGGCTAGTAAATATCTTGGCAGCTGGTTTAATAAATTAAAAATGTAAAGAGTCTAGATCGCTTAATATCTCATTTGAACAAAAAATTAGAGTAAACTAAATAAATTCTGAATAAGTTTACCCCTTAAGTGTATATTCTAATTTTATTGCGAAGTATTATTTAACGGTTTTTATACTTGGTTAGTCATTAATCATATTCTTTAAACGTTTGCTTGTATATTTAATATGCAAAATGGAAAATGTTTTCATTTAACATTGCACAAAATTTGTGACAAAATAATGCTTTAGATGAGATTAAATTTATTATCCATATACTTTAGAAGTAATTCAATTAATATAGGTGTTGCTTGAATTTGTGTCACCCTGAAGATTTCGCTTGCTTGACATTTTTTTTAAATGCTTAAATTATGAGGAAAATTACATCGATTTAATAAGGATCAATTCTCTTTTTCACACATCTAACTAGTCCTTTTGTCTGTAAATGTTAATTAAATGTTGGAACTCCGTAGATATTTATTCTTTATTTAAAAAGTTTCATAAGAAATCTTTTAGTTTTATTTCACACCACTCCGAAGCCTTCAATCTGTAATTTTCAAACCTTTTAAGCAACTGTATTTCAGCAAAAGTATTATACTGTAGACCATTAAAGACATATATGGGTTTTTTCATAAAATAATGATTTTATTTTAATTAAAATAGTAATTATTAAGAGCAACCTGAAAATTGTATTACTCATATACGTATTTGGACTTGATAGTAATGTGGATGTTGAGCTGTTAGAATTTATTGGAATGCTTGGTCAATCATTCAGTTAGTTGGACAACAGCTGCGAAATGCAATTAGCGTTATTTTCAGCGTACCGTATGATTGCGCATACGTGCTGTGTGCCCGCCTTGCGCAAATGAGTTGAAGGTAAAATTGTAACGGCGACGACGTAGTTTATAGCATTGAGATTGAGTCGCCGACACACACACATACAGTGACTCCTCTATCCCCCATGACGACCCGTTACACTGCAGTAGTACCACCTACCCCTAGACAGGCTGTTGCGTGCGACGACCTTCAGGCAACGGCTGCCAGTGGGCGCTAACTGCGATGTCAACGGCAATGCCAACAAAAAACTTTTACTGCAGCAAGTCGTTGTTGCAGTGTTGTTTGTGTTTCTTCCCTGTGCAACTTCGCTGACCGAAAAGGCAACTACAGACATCCGTTCTACGTTTTATATGTGTGTGAGTGTGTGCTCTGATACGTTGATGCCGCGCATATTTTGCATCTGCAACGCATGGCGTCTATGAAATTGATAATTAATTATCCTGACAGCCAGCGTGCCACTTCACAGCACGCCTTGTCCCTTGGCTTTGGCTGGTGTCCCCACGCAGGCACCTCTTCGTCGTCCCACCAGCCGTGTCCCTCAATTGTGGATTTTCGCGGATACGCTTCGCTTATTGTGTTTACAAGTGCGTGAAAATGTGCGCTTAACTTAACGCTTATCACGTGTGGCGTACGGCATGCGGCATGTGGCGTGTGGCGTGTGGTGTGAATTTTACTGCGGCCAAGCGGACACTGCAGTGCCACACTGGCCACACATGCAAAACCAGAGAGAATGAAAGACAAACGCCTGCACACAAGCTGCGTATGCAGAATGCTAATTTAAGCCGAGTTGAATGCAGCAGAAAAAGTAATGTGCATTTGTGCATGAATTATATGCGCTGTAATATTTCCAGAATCATTTTATGATGATGTCCTCTTCTTGTTTTTCTGCTACTATTATAATCTTTAGTATGCAGCCATGATAAATAACACATGCATAGTAATTTATGCCTTTTTGGATTCTGTGCTTTATACCAGTTGATGGAGTTTCCATGTATTTTAATATTTAAATTCAAAAGGGATTTTTAGTCGCAATTTAAGTGATGTAATATTAACAGTTTTATTCTGATTCTTATTCTTAGTAGTTACAAAAATCGCATGAAAACATAACAGAAATCACATACTAGCAAGTTGTATTATAGAGATAAAGATTATTTATGCAATTTTTGTACACAACGTATTCAGTTCTAATTGCATTTGTAAAACGTACCTTTGAGATTTACATTAAATAAGATAAACATTCAATATAATATTGATGAGTATGGATAAGCGTGCATGATTGGTATATTTTCCCACAAGCCCACATAAATACTTAATGATATTGATGAAATCCAGAATTAATTCCATTTGCCATGCACTAAAGTGTTTAATTATAAGAAAGGCACAAAGTGAAAGTTGCCAAAGGATTAACCGTTTAATGCAGTCAAGAGAAGGCAGCTCAATGAGATTTAAGTTAAAGTTTTTTTGCTCTTCGTATAACGAGGGAATGGCATTACTTACTTGTTGGCATTGATATTGTTACCTATAGCTTTAGTCCATATAGTCAGTCACTGGCTGAGCTGGCAAATCCCGAACAAAGCCAATGTGCTACAAAAGCGCCGCTGGCCGCATTGCAGGGAAGGCAACTAACAGAGAAAAAAAGTTGGACTAGCCAACTGAGAAAAGGGACCCGAACATGACGACCAGTCAGTCAGCTAGTCAGCCAGCCAGTCAGCCCCACAGCCCCACTGCCCCACCCAACGCAATCACATTAAATCTTAGCTATTATTCTTGTTCTTTTACTTTGTATTTGTGTGCACACAACTTTTGCTGCTAGCCTCGGATCGGTCTCTGGCCAGCTGTAGTTAATCGCCCACGATGTGATTGAATTCCATCGAACGCAGGTTGTTAGCTCTAAGAGACAGAGAGGGGGAAAGGGAGTCCCGATTCGCGTAATAAATGAAATAGAGTCGCCTTCGCTGCTTGACTTGGCTGCATTTCGGGTTTCGCCAGCTCGTTTGCCTGTTTCTGAGAGGCTGACTTGGTTTATGGCCAGAACTGGTCACAGAGCTCCTATCCGATGGTCACTGGCCACTTAACTAATTGCGTCTTTGTGTGTGCCTGACACGCGCCATAAAATTAATTTGGATGCTCTTTGCTATTGAGTATAATGGCATTCGCATAAGGCTTGACAAACCCTCATGGAAATGAAAAAGTTATGATTCTTAATAGTATTTCAGAGATTTTGGTTAAGGTAAAATTAAAAGTAGTAGGAGATTAATTAACTAGATGGTAATATACCATAAAGTTTATTTAATTAAATTTGAAATTATTTTGTTCCAGTTCTATGCACTTTTAAAATATTGTATTTTTATAAGGCTTTCGGATATTTTAAAGCATTTTGTATTAAGCAGAAATTTTTTAAGCAGAAACTAAAAACTAATTAAGAAAATAAATGATGCTTTAGCAAATATATCTTGTTATTTGAAATTGTTCTTATCAGACATTTGACTATTTCTTTCTTTAAGGCCATATGAAATGCGACTCAAATAAAATTGTGGTTTTGTTTTTTTGCCATCTTTGCAGTTCCTTTGTGTGCCATGCACGACACAGCCGGCAAACCGTCCCCCATAACAACACCCACACAGTCACCCATGGCGGCGGAGGTGGATCCTGGAGCCGGGACAGCGGACGATGAGGATGAAACCGATGTGATTGGTGATCTGATGGGTCACTATGGCAAATGGCAGCTGGTGATGACTGTGCTGCTGTCGCTATTCCAGGTGCCCAACACATTTCACATATCCTCATCCGTATACCAGGCGGCCAACAAGGACTTCTGGTGCCAGAGGCCGCCGCACCTTCAAGAAATGCCCGTCGATGTGTGGCGCAATCTAAGCGGCTCCCACGATAATTGTCATGCTCGGTCGGGCATCGATTGGAGTCGGCTGAGCAACGACACGTTACCAGCCCAGTTGCAGGTAAGCAGCGAGCTGTTTTTGTGCATATGAAATCCTATTCAAATCCGTAGCAAGTCAAGGGTAATTAACTCTCTTATCGTGTGTTGCAGCAACAAGCAGCAGCAGCTGCGGCAGCTTCAGGCGACGACGGGAAGCTGATTGCCTGCAACCGCTGGGAGTACGAGACGAACGACAATGTCGGCAACACTTGGACCTCACAGTGGGATCTAGTGTGTGACAAAGAGCATTTAAAGAACGTTGCCGAGATGTTCTTTTTACTGGGTGTCGCAACAGGTGGAATTATTTCTGGCTACCTTTCTGACAAGTTTGGCCGCAAAACCATGCTCTTCATATCGGCCATTCTGCAGACCATATTCGGTAAAATACGGCTCAGCCCCTTTGACCTCAAATACATATTTTTATCATCTCAATCGTCACCACATAGTTATTATGCTGCAGTGACCTTTACTGTCAGCTTTCTTTATACACACACACGGAAGTGGCATTGGCCAATGCCGCCAGTGTCCCCTTGTGACTTTGAACTTGGCATTGGCAACGGGGTCAACATTGAGTGGGTAATGCATTAGTGGATGGTGCAGCTACTACTCCTGCTACACTTGCCTGCCTTGTTGTCCTTGTTGATTAAATCACGTTCAATGTAATTGGAATTTGCATGCAAAAGGACAATACTAATCAGGGATTGGTGGGGTGCAACGCAGATAAGTGAAAATGTGCAGCTTCTCAATGGGTTGTGTGTATTTCTGCGGCAGGGGAACAAATTGCTGAGGAAGATAATTAGAAATTCTTAAATTGTATACAGTAACCTGTTGCTTAAAATAATCAGAGTATTGTTTAGTTAACTGTTTAGATAAATACAAAATTAAAATAATAACATGCTTAGGCATTAATTAAATAAATAAAAAACCGATTTTAGCAGAGCATTATTCTCAAATTAAATAAAAAATTATACCTATAATATTGAAGAAAAAAAATAATAGCATTAATTATTATCGTTAGTTTAAATATTAATTTAAACTCGTTTATACTTATAACTTTTTATACAGGTCTCTGGCTATATTTCTGCAGTTCTTTTGAGCTATATTTAACGCTGCGTGCCCTTTTGGGACTCGTCTCTGTCTCAGTGACATACTCTGGTCTTATATTAGCCATAGAGTATGTGGATGGCAAGTGGCGCACCATAGCCGGCATGTACAATCTGTTCCCACTGCCAATCTCGTATATGATCATCTCTGGCCTGGCCTATTTGACGCAAGACTACCAACGTCTACAGCTCTGCATTGGAATTCCAGGCATTTTCCTGTGTTTTCTCTGGTAAGGCCATTTAACTTCATAATTTTTTAGCTGGATCAAAAGGCACTCGTAAAGGTAAACAAAACTTAGACGCTCGCCGTGGCGCGTGAAAAGTGTAAATTGCTAATAAAATGATGTGCTTACGTTTATATGTATACATATGTATATGCATCTGTATCTGTGCAGCATAGATCATTGAGTCTGCTGAGCAATAAATGACAAATAAATAACAGAAAGCGCGTGGGTGTCCCAATACTAAACAGAAGACGCCTCCGACCAGACGAGGAGGTGTCTAATTTATGACTGTGTGAGACTCTGAAACTGAAACTATGACTGAAACTGTGTCTGGTTCTCGTTGGCAGGTTTGTGGTGCCGGAATCGCCGCGCTGGCTGTTGGTCAAGGGTCGCGTTGAAGAAGTGAGACGCATCATTGAGGCGGCGGCCGTTTTCAATGGACGCCAACTGCCTCCGGATTATCAGCTAACGCCGCCAACGCAGGAGAGCTCCCAGGACGTCACATATTTGTTTCGGTCCAGCTACTTGCGGCGCATCTCTATCTGTTTTCTGTGCATTTGGTTCACCATGAATCTGGTCTACTATGGCATTATCTTGAATATGAGCTCGTTCGGTGGCAATGTCTACTTGAATTCGGTAAGTTGACAATTTACATTAAGGTTAAGTGCGTATTTACGAGTTGGTGGCGCCGCCAATTTGATTTGATTCGAACACATTATGAAAATCCCCTACATTCCGGAAATTTCATCTGTAATTTACTTAACTTGTATCCATCAAGCACCCAGAATGCAGTCTTGAGTGACAAGTTTAACATTTAACAAGTGCTAAGTGCCCAGTCGAGATTTGTTCGCTAATTGAATCTGTCAATCTGTCTACTGTTTTTGTGTGTGTGTGTATGTCATCTGAACGTACCATGTCCGAGGCGGACGTCGAAAGACGGTCGAAAAGGACAAGCAAATGTGTTTGCTTTCGAATTATGATGTAGCTTACAAGTGTGCTCCGAATAAATACTGCTGCTGTTTCTCCGTTCCTCCTCTAAATAAATTCACAGAATCATTTCCGATATTTGGCAAATGGCCAATCGCAAATGCTACAAGAAAAAACCATTTAAAAAAAAACTAAAACAATTCTGTTTAGCAGTCTGTTGTTTGGTAATTATTATTATTTTGAATAGTCTGCGAAATATAAAAAAATTAGAATGTTCAAAATTATGAGGTGCTGAACGAATTCAAGAATAAAGTTATATGTAATATTTATTAATAATTATGATTAAGTGGAATTTTGATGGGTATAACTGCAAGATATTGTGATTTATATGAAAGACTTTTATTTGATTTACTGTAGATAAAAATTATAAAATTATCTTAGGAAACGATTCTGAATAAAGTGAATTTAATGGAAAAGTTAGACATCTTTGCTATTTGTAGCTGGGACTGTTAAATTACTAAACTGTTAATTCTATAACTATAATTATTTAAAGTAAATGTTTTTGCGTTTTTTTTTTCCTTTCAACTTTATAGTAAATTCTATAGCTTCTGAAATTAATTATAATGGAATTGATTCCCTTGCTAAGATTTTCCGCAAAACAGCTAAATGCGCATCACTGCTAACAAAAATTGGACAAAGCGTCTTTTTTAAAATTTATTGCATAATTTATTTTGACATGGCATGGCGCACCTTTGATGCCGCGATGATTTAATGTGGCCCGCCGACATCTGAGTACAAGTGTTTCTCAAGTGATGTGCATGTTTGTTTGTTATTGTTTTTTTGGATTTGGTTCCCTTGCAGGCGCTAGCTGGCCTAGTCGAAATACCTGCCATTGCGGTGGCCATGTACATTATCACCAAGGTGGGCAAGAAGTGGCTCTTCTGCGCCACTTTGATCTGTGCCGGCGTCGCCTGCTGTTGTGCTGCGATCACTGAGGGGCACGACGATATGCTCTGGCTGAAGATCACGTTCCTGATGATGGGCAAGTTTACGATTAGCGCTGGTAACACCATCATGCCCGTTTACACTGCGGAACTGTATCCAACGGCCATACGCAATGTGGGTGTGGGTGCCTGCAATGTGGCTGCCGGATTGGCGCTTATATTAACGCCCTACTTGTCGCTTTTGGTATGGGAATGAGTGTGGCACTACAATTAACCATAAATTCATTCGCAATTTTATGCATATCGTTTTCGCAGAACAAAATCGAAGGCCACCTGTTGATGACGCTGCTAACCGCCTGGAGCATCTTTGGCGGTTTTGTTGTGCTCTTTTTGCCGGAGACGGCGGTGCGGAAAAATGTATCAACCGCCGCTAGTCGCCCGAATGCTGTAAAGCAGGTTTAATGAATTGGAGTGATGCAACCATAATATGACGCTCGCCAAAAGCTCCTCCTGCCCCTCCCCAAATACCCTTGACACTTAGCAAATATTTTGGCTGGTCCAAAGTATATAAATGAGCACATTGGCTACCAGAAAACTAATTACAAACTACCAATACCAACAATAATAATCGACGCCCAGCTCCGATTTTACATATCCACCGCCGCAGCCACCGCCACCTTCTTTTAACCAGGAATTCAAGTGAAAAGCGCAATTTATCGAATGTCCATCAAATGCCATAATACGAAAAGTCAGGCAGGACCTTATTTGCGTAGCAAGTAGTAAGTATTTAATATACGTGCAACAAATAAATAAATCGTATTCTTAAAGTAACAATGGCTTATAGCTTATAATAAAGTAAGAACAACAAGGTACATATTGTAAACGAAGTCACAATTCAGAGTAGGGAACATTTCTTCGGTGTCATCGAAGATGAAGATTTCTCACAAATAAGCTGCTAAAAAGAAAGAAAATTACTAACATTTTCTCCAATTAAAAACAAAATGTTCCGCAATTGATTATTTCTAGCTTACTCTCTTTCTAAACCAATAAAATATTCCAAAAATCGGTAGATAATATTATTGAATTGATTTTAAAACTTGACTTACCAAAAGCAATTTTTGTGAGATGTTCGTAATAACTAGAAATTAATGTCTAAAAAAATATGTATGTAATAGTATTGCTAAATTATTAACACTGTCAACAATTCAGTGAACATACAAAAAATATAATAAAATAAAATACTACATAAAATACTTGTCGATACGTCTTGTCAATATGTCAACGTATACAGAATCTAGTTGTTGTTGTGCTCGTGTATTATTAAATGTTTTATAAAACTAATTCAAATTAAAATAATTATTAAATTGAAATTAAAAATGTAATCTGGTAAATGTAGTCAATTAATCATAAAAATAACAAAAAACAAAAACAGAAACTAAATGTCGGTCAATTATGCATACATACAATGCACTATATATATTTATATAGAAAGCAGCCAACGTTTGTTGTTTTGACTCATCTCGCATTGAAAGTTGCTTATGTTATTTGATCGTAATTACGCTTGCTAACGAAAAGTCCTCAAAATAATTTTCAAATTCCCCACAATAATGCATTTAAAGAAATGAATGTATGTACATGATTGTAGTTCAAAATAACAAATCAATAGAGTAGTAACAATTTTAGTTTACATGATCCATTTGTTGCGTTCACATGATCAAGGAACGTGGAAACAGGCAAAACAAGTCACAAAAATGTTTAGACTTATAAAATTGTTGTTTTATTAAACCGTCAACATGCTTGTTGTACTTACATATATATATACAATAAAGTAATATATATATATATATATATATATATTACTGTTCTTAATTGTAAGCTCTTATTTGTTTATGATTTGATGTTCATTGTACTTATATTTATGTTGTCCAGATTTTATTCTCATTAAATGCGAACACTGCTTATTTAAATGATTCAAATGCAATTTGTAAATGTAAGAAAAATATAAAAAGAAATGCACATGTATGTAAAGAACAAAATTATAGAACGATATATGTACTAGAATATGCAGACATACAATTTTATCTACATATTACGAAGAGAAAAATGAATTTTTATTGTTATATGATAAAATGAAATTGTCAATTTATGTTAATATATTGATAGAATCGCAAGAATGTATGTAAACACTTAGATATTCCACATGGTGATGCACACCAAATCTAAATCGTGTTTTAAAACTTTTGTTAACTGCTCAATGTGCAACTGGATCTTAGGAAAATAATGTTAATAATGGCTTACATACATATATATGAAATTGTTGTAAATCAAAATTACCAAAGCAACGTAAATCAATTAGTGTCAAAACAAATATACTTATAATAAATAAATATGTGGAAACTAATATCGCAAGCATTTTTGACTCTACTGTGTGGAATGTAGACACCGCAATCTTGCAGCGAAAGCTTCGCAACCTACGACAACTTTCAATTCGTTGACTCAGGCGAAGTTTTGCGATTAGGTTGTGTTTTTACAGCTGGCAATGCTGCTGCATAGAGCTTTGAGCTTTTTTGCCATTTATAATAGCTTCGTTGAACTTTTAACGGATTTAGATCGTCGCCAAAAGCGAAGCAAACAATCAACGTCGCGACTTCAAGCAATACAATCGATCAACAAAGCATAAACAAAAAAAAACAGAAAAACTGAACTGAACTGAACTGAAATTTGTATTGAGTGATTCGTTTGTTTGTGTTATTGCCAGTTCCTTGATATCGACATGAGTGGCGTGCTGCGACGCGGCTCCCTGAATTTCGATTGCGTTGGTAGTGCACGGGGCAGCCTTGATTCAAACCTTTATGGCGGTTACCGAGAAACAAAGCCAGCACCAGGCACACCGGAATTAAGTGTAATTACAATGGACTTTCGTCGCCACTCGGATGACTTGAAGAAGGTCGGTCTCACGGCTGTGCCGCCACCAATGCCGCAGCCCGTCAAGGATCTTAGCCAAGACGCTGATAGCGATGTGCTATCTAGTTTTCTGGGGCACTATCGTAAATGGAGCTTCATGTGGACATTTCTGTTGTGCTTGTTCCAGATACCCACCACATTTCATTTGTTTATGTTTGTGTTTCAGGTGAGATTAGCTTTATGAATTGGCAAATATTTACACAGTTGATTGCGTCGCAATTTCAAAGCCAAATTTTCTGTTATTTTGTGTTGTGTTATATTTGTTGCGTTTTGTGAAGTGAAACAGATCGAGGGCAATTTTGGCTTGCAACCATTTAATAACTGCTTGATTGATTTGCTGTGGATGATGAAAAGTGAAAGTTATGATTATGTAGACCAATTGCAAGAGAAGTCTATTTGTTTTCTTGTTTCCATTAAGTAATGCATACACAAATTATTTCAATGCTCAATAGATTTGTGCAACATTGCTAATAGTATAATTAAAAGTAAAGCACAAGCACTCAATTAAATAATATTTGCATGTTAAAGTGGGGCGTCGTGATATAATTTTAGGCAAATTGCTATATAAAATATCCACATATCGTTGTTTAGAATATGTTGATATATTTTTATATACTCATTCAATTTTAGCTAATTTGAAGTAATCAGATGGCACTAATTCTAAAATAAAACACTAAACTACTTAGAGATTGTTGAATACTCTAGATTATTCAGAATGTAAATGTAACTTAATTGCGTTATAATCAATTAAAAAGCGCAACTTGTACGTCACTGGGCAATAGGTAATCGGTAAAAAAAATACAATGCGATAAGATGAAAGCCATGGGGATTTTAACTTGTGTATGTATGTGCCAGCACTTGACAATGATGTTTTTGTTGTTCAGCCAATAATTCGGCGAATCCAAAAAGTGTTAATGAGAGTGTGCGAGTATTAATCATCATGTTATATCTCTAATTTGCCAATATTTAAGGCCATAAGGCATTAACGGTGTCGCGTGTAGTTTGAGACTCACTCGTGGGCAACCTTCGATCGATTTGCATCGGCATCATATTCCATACGCACCTAATGGGCCTTTAAAAATTGCGAACTGCAATCATTTGTCACTGCGTTTATCTGTCAGATACTTGGATACTTTTGCGTGCTAGTCAATTGCAATTGCTGACTACTTCAATTGTTATGTTCAGTGTATGGTAATCACGATAATCATCTAGCGTGCTAATGTGCAATTGGTAAGGTAACCAATAAAAAAAGGCAAGAAAACATAAAACAAGCCGCAAAATACCTTGACACAATCGGTTTTTCTTATGTGACTTAGAAATTACTGAAGAGAATTGCAACATCAATAAACCAAGATCTTAAGATATATTTAAGTACAGCTATTTACGATTTTGAAATTGTAATTCAATTGATCGTTGTTTTAAGAGTTGCAATTTTACTGACTCATGACTGTTAAGTTTGGCGTAAGAACAGACTAATTACAATTCCTATAATTTGCCGGGAAGCTAAACTTACTATCATTAATACATCGAAAAACAAACAAAAAAAGAAAAATGAAACATTTTTTCGGAACGAAAGTGTGTTTCAGAAGTCCGCATCAAATTTTGAAAGATGCAGAATATTAATTTTAATACCGATACAGAATTTGTTTATTCTTAATAGTGCCCGTAACCATGCTTTTCGTTTAAAAGATTATTTGAAGTTTTCAGCGAATTTCATAAGATTTGAGAGTCGGGTCGGATGTAATAAGCGCTTTAACAGTTTAACCTAATGCTAACCGAACGTATTTTGCCTAAGCAATTTTGGATTTAGAAATATCTATTAAAAAAGTTTTTTAAAGTTAAATGCACTTGACTGAAAAGTCAAACACTCTCTTTCTCTCTGTAAAAAAGAGTTAAGATTATCAGATCAATGACTTGTGAGCTTAACTAAATTCCACTCCCAGGTGGCTTAATTTATGCGTAACTTCGACAGATCGGTTAAACACAGCTTACTTGGTCGTCATACCAGCTTGTTGAACTTTATTTCAAATGCCCCTTCTGAAATTTTATATGCCGGCGCACCTGTGCATCTGTGACTTCCCAACAGTTGTCAACACCTGCCAGTCTAACGCAGTCTCAGTTGTAAGAGTAAAGTGCGCGCTTAAGGTCCGTTATGTGGCCGAAACTCTCAGCAATTCCACATGTAAAGCATAAAATACGCAACAATTTAGACTTTGCATATGATTACGAATTTGTGTTCGTTCATTAACTGAAATACATATTTTCGCAAACATTCTAAATCAGTTGATTTGCATCTCAAGTCGCAATCGGTTGACTATTTGTTGCGAACCAATCCAAAACGTGCGTATTCCGTCAGAATGTCAACGCCTGAAACGAGTGTGGGCGAAGTATCGCCGATGCTGCTAGAAATGCCCATCAGCCACGAGCAGTTGGAGTTACTTCAAATGAAGACGTTGCAAAAGCTATTCGGTTCCTTCAGTCGCTGGCAGTGCATGTGGTGTGCGTTGCTATCAATCTTTCAGGCCATTTGTACCTTCCACATATTCGTCTATGTGTTTCAGGTGAGTGGTCATTGCACAAGACCTTAGACGAGTCAGGTTAGATACCAACAAGTCGCAAGCGTTGAATATGATTCCCCTGAACAAACCCCAACAACTTACACCTCAATTGCACCGCTTCGATCTACATTAAAAAATATGAATTGGTTGTATTTATTGTGTTCTTGCAAAGTGTAATTTGATAAGTGTAATTGAGAAGCAAATGAAATCATATCTAAAAAGAAAAAAATATATGTAAATAAAACACTTTTACGCCACTTTCAAAATCATTTTATTAATAGCCACTTTCAACTCAACGTTAGTTCAGTGACTTAAATCACGTTTAAAATAGCCCAAAGCGCATTTTTAATAGTTATATTATTTAAATTTGTTATTCATCTTTAAATGATAAACACGTTTGCTGAACCCGAATTTATTTACATTTTGATTCCAGTCAGACCAGCTAACAATGCGCATATGAACGTGAAATATTTGCAGGGTTGTCAGATACGATTTAAATATATTTTTTCCACTTATCCAGCTCAGCAGAATTTGCTATATTCAAGACATCATAAATTTCTATGGACTGCAAGAGTTTTCAATTAACTTCCACTCCCACTGATCTATATCAGGTGGCAATTGGAGACTGAGTCAACCAAGGTTTACTTCGATTGGTTACTCTGGGGCCTCGGGCCAATTGCGACCGCCAAAACGTCGACATATATTAATTAACAATAATAATAAAATCAGTAAGCATTTCTGGGCCAGGCGGTCCGCCAACTGGGCACACTGGTTGCAGTTCAGCTGTACAATTTGTACTTGTACTTTTATTAATATCCACTATAAGCTATATCATTGACCCTGCACAATATTAATGTTAGCAATAATAATAGGTTCTGGACAATACGAAAGCAACAGGTTTAGAATGTTATAGCATGTACAAGTCGAAACTTACATTTACGGTTTCATCATGTGGGTTCAACTCCAAAAATAATGCTCAGCGCGTTAGGATTCAGCATTAAGACCTATTTCCATCTCGTATCACTTAAAATTTGTCAAACAAATGGAAACAATATGTTATATAACAATATGAATAAAAGTTTATTTCCACTTTCTGAACTGGGATTTGATAGCAAATATTATTAATATTTTATATAAGTAGAGAGCCGTTTGGCAACTGCATTCGTATACTTTATAAATTCTCCGACGCCACGACTTTATGTAAGCAAATTGCATTGTCCTATAAGATTTCAAGTTAAATATAATGCTAATTGGAAGAATATTTATCAATTATTCTTAACGAAATGTTGAAACAGTTGATTAAACTTAACAAGTGACCAGTGTGCCCGATGTCGTCATAAGAATAAATTGCAATCAGGTGTAAAAAAAAAAATACAAATATAAAAAAAGTATGCACTTGCAGACAACAATCGACTCGAACTCGTGCAAACGTATCTCCAATGCAATTTATCAAAAGTGAGCAACTGTCGTGGTGTGGTGAGGGATTGGGTGGGTCTATGGTGTTGTATGTAGCAGGCTGGTGGTGATCATGTGGCTTAGCCCACGCTATAAAATTCCACTGTTGGTTCTCTATGCAAATGCCTGAAACGTGACAAACAAGTGCCACAGCACTAAAAACCACTAGTCAAATGGACATGGACAGACATTTTATGTCATGAGTGCATGCCACAGAAAGATAACAGCAAAAATAACAAAGGCAGCCGTGTTATATGTCCACATGTCGTTAATCAAGGAAAATGCCTGGTCGACATTTTTGAAGAACGTTAACTTTTACTTGTTCTCTCAATTTAGCAACTAATTCACTTTCCATTTGTCTGGCTGCTGATGTAGTAATTGTTTTTATGCGAACTTCAACTTGAACTTGAAACCATTTCCTCACTCAAAAAAAAAAAAAAAAACAGAAATAATAGCAACGTTTAATGAAGGCACGTGCGAAACGGAGCCAAATTAACCTGTTGAGGCCTGAGCAGCTGTATAACGTATACGCCCCATGTACCGTTGCCCGCGTTTAAGCACTTCTAGCACTTGAGGCCGGTGAATAACCTCTCTCTCTCTCCGCTAGACCATGTTGTCGATGGCTGCTCGTAAATAGCTCCTAGCATCAATCAGCCAACCTGATGCAATACCAACTAAACAGGTCGCCATGCAGCCAGCAGACATCACTTTCAGACAGTCAAAAGTTATACAATTTCCTGTTTTTTTTTTACTGTTCAATATTCATTCTCAAGTCATTGGCCTGCATTTTACTATTTTATATGCTTGTAGTCGAAAGGTATATATTGTTTGCCATTGACCAAACGCAAGACGGCAGACGTAAAGCAATAAAAAAAAAACACACTCACAAGTACATGCAATGATAATTAATCAGTTTTCAATTACCATCGTAAACGGTAGTTGCTATTAGCTAATTACATTGCCTATCATGAATTTATCGACATGAGTGCATAAAAAACACACAAAAATAGGCAAACTTTGAACACTTTATATTAGACAATTAAAGGCTGTTAATGTTGAAGTTTTTTCGTTTTTAATAGTCATGTTTACATTTAAATTATTTTAGAAAACTTTTGAACTAATTTCAAATGTAAGGCACTCAAATATATGTGAGCAGAAACTATAATGTTACAATTATAGCCATCGAAAGTTGAGTCTACCTATTGTAATAATAATAAATATAATGTCTGTCTAAATGTTTTTAAATGTGCTTCGACCACACTGCTACAAAGCTCTACAACAATATAATTACTTGTTACTCTTGGAAAAATTACTGGAGCTTAAAATTAGTGGTTATAGCTTTGAAATTATTGCCACTTTACGGCATCGCTTTTCCTTTTTTCTAATTGTAGTACAGTATTTATATTATACACATATAGTATAGAATAACTGCGTTTTCAATCAAACAAAAATCACATAAAAAATTAAGTAAATAATGAGCATTTCAAACTGACTCACACAAGCAATTTTTATTCTTGATTGTATATAAAAAGTGACATTTAAACTATTCTATATCAAGGACTAATATGGGAAATAGAATTGCCCATACGCATTCATTCATATCAAATTAATTTAAATCATAAAAAATTTAATTGGTTAAAATGACACTTCCGATAAATTTGTTCAAATTATTCTATTATTTTGTTTTGCCAAACTTTCAAAATGACAATTTAGTTAAGTGCTATTCAGGTTTTTTCAGTCAAACTGAATTAATTTATGTTTTGATTGAATTATTTGATGATGATCCCATAAAAAGAATAATATGTGCACACCTTAAAATTAAATTAAATATTTATTAAGTTGCAAAAAGCTTATAGATTTTGGGTAATTAATTTTATTCACCTTTTTATTTATTATTAGCAAAATAAACTATCAAAATTCTGTTAATATATTTAATAGACAAATTTCGATAATTGATTGTTGTGATTTTATATTGCAGACAGCTCCAAAGGAATATTGGTGTGCCAGACCAACAAATCTGCAGGAACTTGACATCGCGGAATGGCGTAATCTCAGTCAGAGCTCAAATGGCTGTCAACTGCTGGATATAGACTATAGTCAGCTGATCTTGGAGAACGGAAATGTGATGAATTGGCCCAGCAATGCCAGCGATATGGGCTATACACAGTGCACACAATTCGAGTTCTCCGATATTGACGGTGAAGCCAAGTCGCTGGTGCAGGAATTCGGACTTATTTGTGCGAATAACATTACCAACGTTGTGGAAATGTGTTTTCTGATGGGTGCCGCGGCGGGTGCGGTTCTTTCTGGCTGGATCTCGGATCGCTTTGGGCGCCGACACACATTGATGGCCTTTGTGAGCATACAGACCGTTTTCGGTAAGTCCAATAAATAGTTGATGTGGCAATCATTGCGCAAATTGCATGTCCAACAGTAGCCATGACAATTTCAACCACGTTTATTTTCTAATTGTCATTTATATGAAACTTTTGCCCATCAGGCGACCTCTGACTTGTGGGTGGGTGTCTGTCTGTGTCTGTCTGTGTCTGTGTGGAAAGGGCTTTACACATTTGTGTTTGTCGGCTGCACAGATTTTAATTGACCTTACACTGTTATTTACGTGAGTGGCCTTGCACCTGGCATTCCCATCTGGCCCTCTCTCTTCTTATATCGAATTCTGTCTCACCTGCTCGCACTCTTTATCTCTTTCTCTCTCTCTCTCTCTTACTCTTATTCTCTCGCGCTGTGGCACAGGTGGAATTTTGGCCTTCTCAACATCGGTGGCCATGTTCATGTCGCTACGTGTTATAATTGGATTCGCATCAATGACCGTGACTGTTGTTAGCTTCGTGTTGGTCGTCGAGCTGGTATCCGGCAAATGGCGCACCATAATCGGCATATTAAACATTTTGCCCGTTGCCATCTCCTATGTCCTGTCATCTGGCATTGCCTATCTCATCCGAGACTGGCGAGTCCTGCAGCTGGTCATATCCTGGCCCTGGTTGGCCATGTTGTCTATCTGGTAAGTAACAATACTGTTTACTTTTTTCAAAATTCGTATGAATAAATTATAAATTAAAACTTGTCAAACTGCTGCACAATAACAAATAAATACTAATTACTTTTAGCTATAAATAGGTTTACTTGCTAAGAGAAAAACCCGATCTATCGTTTCGATCATTAAAAAGATGATTTAACGCAAATCTGCTTAGTTTAAAATAATTAAATATTATTTAGTAATACCTAATGTTTTATCTCATCTCAAATACTTTATCGTATATACATATCTTGATTTGAAAATATTGCAAGAAATTGAATATAACTTTCTAAGGAAAATACATACTTGTGCTTACTGAGATACAATTTTCAGTTTTATTGTATGCATATTTTAAGAAATTATTAATTGCTTATTAACCGAATCTGATTGGTTTTGATTAAATGGAATAGGTTTTTGTTTTTTAATTTTATTGGTAAATACCCAATATTGTTTTCCCAACCTCACCAAATTATCAGCGCATTCTGCGTGTGAACTCTCTTTCAAATTACTATCTTTAATAAGCAGATACTGAACAAATTAAAAATGTAGCAACAAATCGAATAGATAACCAAAAATATACCAAGATGGCACTAACGAGAGTTCCCAACTAAAATATACCCTTTCGAGTTAATCTTCAGACTTGTAGTTGTTTCATTCTTACAATTGTTCAACTTTTATTATAACTTTTTCTTAATTTAATGTGGGAAAAATAGAATGAGATAAAATGCGTTTAGCCCTATTTTATTTAAATCTCAAATTTTGACTTAAAATTACAAATTCTTAAATTCTAATTCCACTAATAGCGTTAAGTTTAATAAAGAATTTACAAATTTAGCATATTAAAGTTTTGACATCTGCTTAATCATACACAAAAGTATTGAAATTACTCGCATATTAAAGGTAATTAAACTTAATGCATGAAACTTTTGTCTTCACACTCACCAAGTGCACGTAGATTTGTTTAGTCGTAATTTATATTTGTTGTATTTGATTGCTTTTGAATTACGTAAGAGTGTGCAACTTGAAGTCGCATTCAGTCCGTTGAGCTAAAAGAAAAATAAAAAGTTTTAATAACCGTTTCATTGTTAAGTTAACGCTCGCCTTTTACATCAAAGTGGAAACGAAATGTGTAACGAATTCCTAACAACCACTGACCAACGATTGACAGCATTTTGTTGCGTGGAATCAATTAGATTTCAAACGGACAAAGCAACGTTCCACGCATTCCTTAGTATTTGTCCCAGATGCACAGAACCCTTCAGATTAGCCGCATTGTGTGTGGTTCGGAATCGCTCTTGAAATCATTGAATTGAAAATGAAAAATACCAAAGTGTCAGTGGTCAGGCAATAAATACAAAGGCATGACATTGATTTTGTTTTCTATTTTTCACTATTCCAACAGGTACTGGCTGCCGGAGTCACCACGCTGGCTGCTGGCACAAGGTCGCCTCGAGGAGTTGAGTCATCTGATCGAGAGAGCTGCCAAGGTGAATGGCACCACTCTGCCCAGCAACTATCAAAAAACACTGGAAGCTGCTGTGCCCATGGCTGCCCAGCATAAAGAGCAATCTCAGACCGATGGCGTTACTGCCGCAACTGACGATGCAAAATCTCAAATGGATTCACATGATTTGGATCTTCACGTGAATCCATTATTTGTTGTCTTTAGCAGCAAATACTGGCGCACCACAGTCCTCACTCTGGTCATTTGGCTAACACTCATCATCATTTATTTCGGACTGACGTTGCATTTGAGCAATTTGGGTGGCAATATTTATGTGAACAGCGCTGTAGCCGGCAGCATTGAAGCGATATCTATACTTGTAAGCATTTTCGTTGTGCTCAAAGCGGGCATAAGACGCAGTCTTCTGGGCTACATGCTGCTGCCGGGTCTCTGCTGTTTGGCCACCAACTTGGTGCCCCAAGGCGACAACAACCAGACAGGCGTCATTGCTCTGGCCATTATTGGTAGGTGTCAACACAAATCTAAAATATATATGTGTGTATGCAGTTTGTCATGTTATCAATTCCCTTTCCAGCCAAATGCCTGATTGGCGCCAACAATGCCATTATACCCACCTACACGGCCATGCAGTATCCAACAATTGTGCGTAATTTTGGCGTCGGCATGGGAAATCTGGCATCGGGAATTGCGCTCATTCTGGTCCCCTCCTTGTGGCAACTAGTAATTTATCGAGTCTCACCTACTCTTTTATATCTAAATCAAGTTTTTTCTTTTTTAATTTTAGGAACACTATGATGCCTTGCTGCCTCTTAATATTATGGGAGCTTGTGGCTTGATTGGCGCCGCTGCTATAGCTATGATGAGAGACATTGAATAGATTATCTCTTTGTATACATTTAATTAATATATATTCCTATCTGTGATATATTGGAAATATTGGTCAAAGGGCCTTCACAAACTCATTTTTCTCAGCCTCTGCTTGGTATTCTTTCTTTTGCTTACATAATTTGGATTAAATATACATTGTTACAGACTTTTAGCTATATATATATTGAGTATTTTATCATCTCTAATGCGTGTCTTCTATAATTTAAAGTTTATATTAGGTATTCACGAATTTTAGTAGAATGGCTAACAGAATACCAACAAAATATCAGAAAAGAAACATTAAAGTTATTTAACATAACGTTTAGCTAAAAAAACGAAATCTGAAATATTTTATTGTACTCATTGAGCCATGCAGGGACATTGTGGTACTGATACTCTGATAACAAATAGAATATCTTGAAGTTGAAATTTCTTTAATCCTTGCATGTTATAAGACACAACTGAGCTCAGCTACAGTATTAAATAGATCAGCTGTTATGCATGTTATAAAAAAAACTTTAGCAAGCTGCTTAATTAGTTGTACTTTAGTAGTCCTGATGTGAATGATAATAAAAAAAGTTCTTTTCTCTAGTTAGCCAATACTTTGCTTCACGCATCGCGCATACGCCCTGTTAGGCTTCAAAGCTCGACTTGTGCTTTGTACGAATTTCGTATACACATACATATTTATGAACATTGTTTTCAGCTAGTTCAACAACCAACTCCTAAAGCTCCACTTACAGCGTTGCCACCTGACTGTATTTTGACTGCGAAATCGCGGTAAAAGTAATTTAAAAATTGAATCACGTTCCCGGAGCTCACACAATTCTCAGCACAGACAATATCCGAAATCAGTTGAAAATTTGCAAAAATCATTGCGTTCACTTTCATTTCGAGATGCGTTAACAGCGTAAATGGCTTACACGTTCATATGGCAGCCACAACACGCCTCACATAAATTTCCAGGTGTGTGTTGTGCTTTAGAGCAAGAAAGCTGCTGCGTGGCTATAAAACCGACTGCGAAGCTTGGGCGCCAAGCATTTCAACGTTTAACAGCTGGCAAAAAGTAACCAACCCACGGCGGTCTCAACAAATTACAACACTTTTCTGTACTCGAAGTTTTGGGTGTAGACATTAATCCAGAAATTGAAGATTTGCGGAAGTAGTACACAATCGATTAAGGCTACAATCTGCAATATGAAACTGCAACTAATTGCGGTAAGTTTTAAAAGGATCAACCATAAAAATAAAGTGAAAAACATAAGCGTTTATATAAATTACAATATCAATTTACAAAGGCCTCTCATAAGTGCGCATATTAAATGCAATTGATCGGTTCATATGCGTATGAGAGTTGCCAAGGTCGTTTGGTTTGAAGCTTAAGATCTCGATCTCTCTGAACAGCAATTGAGACATTTGTGTTGTGTATTTGCATTAAATAGAAAGTCTGTGTGTGTACTTTTAGCTCAATGCGATGCAATAAGCAATTAAATATTTCCAATTGACATTTCGTTACCGATCGCATAAGGCCAAACAACACAAATCGCTGATATCATAAATATGCGATTTAATGATTAACAATTGTGTGTATACCAAAGAATTTCAATTGAAAAATTGGTTAACCAAGCCCCCGGGTCACAAAATTTAACAAGCATTTTTTTCGGCTTAGCCTCCGCCCCTTTAAATCTGGGCACTGTGCCAACAATTGTTGTAGCCAGTCACTATTGTTGAACATAAGTAATCTGTGTTAATCTGTGAAATTTAAGCTACTCAGCTTGCAAAAAAGAGTACACTACTTATTATGAAGTCACTTTGATGGAATAATCATAAAATTTGTATATTTTGTTAAAATTGTGATCGAGCAAAAAAAAAAGACATTCCTCGACAATCTATATCTTATTTGAATAGATTAATGGCTTTGTGAATGAAGTAGTTCAAGAAAAGAAAAAAAGAATACAATTTTAATAGTAATTAAATTTTCGACACCGATAGTTGCAAAGCAGTCACAACTATTTTAAAATATTTGTACAATAGCCAATTATGATCTTATTCAATTTTTAAATTAGGTGTTTAGAAAAACTTAAATGTATAGCTAACACAAAAAAAGTGAAGTCCACATCCTACATTAATTCATAAATTATAAATAAAAAAAAAAAACTTTTAGAAACCTAAAAGCCCCATCAAAACCGTTTCTAATGGGATTTTAATGTTATTGATTGATTGGCTGACTTGTGAGGTTTGTCCAAAGTATAGCCTTTAGCCTAATGAGTTTCCATATAGAGAAAAAATTAATAATAATTGTTAAATCAGAGCAAGACGAGAGTTGGCAAATTATTGAGCATTTTAAGCTCTGTTGTGTATGAACAAACTGAGAATTGGTCACGGCAGGTTGTTGTGCTTGGCTTATGTGTCTCAAGGTCGCTGTCGCTTTTTGGCCCGGCTTACTTACTTACTTGCACTAACTACTGACCAAGTTACTTGGGACTCGAGAAACGCAACAAGCTGCACCGTCATATACGCATACATCCATACATCTAGTAAATGCAAATTCTCAACACACTCAACACACACTTATAAAGTAGTTGCCGTTGCAGTTGCAGATGCAGTTACACCAACACATCTGTTTAGGGGATTACAGATACGCTGCTCCATAACGCAATTGGGCGTAGTATGTTGGAGTATTACGTAATGCTCGAGTACACTATACATACATACACATAAGTATACACATGCATAAGTAAAGCGATACATACTTAGGCTCTGAAAGTGCACTGACAACTATTTCCAGTCAGTCGATCCAAAAGAGAAATACGATCGGGAGCGAGTTGTAGATTTTTTGCTGTTTGCAAGGTAAGGTTTTCAGATTTCGTTCCCTTTCGGTCAGTAACCTGTCAATTTTAACTCAAGGGCAAGGGTCCTTAGCCAAGTTATTGTTACTAATGAGATATCAGCACATCAGCATAATCATCCTCAATTCGGTCGCAGTCATCGCACTTTATTCGGATCGCAGACTACGCCTACATTAAAGACTGCTCGCTGGATTAGGGCTTGGCCTGGCATAACTTGAATAATTGTCTGTTTTGTTTTCGGTTTCCTTGAACCATGTCTTCGAGGTGCAGTCATAAAAACTAATTAAATCAAATCAAGTTCCCCAAGCACCCAAATACTTGCTCGCATTGCTGCAAATGTTTGCCAAAGCGTGCAAGCCCGGTTTTCAATCTCTTTTATTTTCGATCATTTTTTAACGGCTAGCCAAATAGTAGTTCACTTGACCAGGTAGTTGGGCAGGCAGCCAATTTGCAGCTGAATGGAATGCTTGGCTTGAATGCCCACAACACAAAAAACTACGAGGAACACCGGCCAAGTCAGCAATGAAAACCATACTAAAAAACTATATATATAAACTTTTTTTATTTATGCAGTGAATGCATAATACACATTTGCATAAGCGTAAGTCACAGTGAGCATAGAAATTTATGGATTAGCAATATGTATATGTATATGAGAATAATGCATTTAAACTAATGGCCTGAATATTTCTAAAATTATATGCCCCCAAGCATAAATTAGAATAATGATTTTTTGAACTAAATATTGATAGGTTCATTAAAATAAGTGTTTAAATCTCTTAAGTTGTCCAACTAGCCGAGTTCTTAGACCAAAGGAAAATGAAGATCATAGTTCAAGTCCCAAGACGGGAGGAGGCTGTAAGGTCCTAATTGATTCGGTAATGATTGGGAAAAACAATATCTACCCCTTGCACAAAAGAAAAAGAAAAATAATATTTACAAAATAATAATAATGATCAATATTAGAGAACATTACAGACATAGTAAAATTGTATGTCCACCAAAACTCAAATATCAAATATTTATAAATTGCTAGATTTAAAAACACATTTTTTGAACCCCTTCTGTATTTTTTTAATGGTCCACATTTCAGACAACAAGATAAACCTGTTTGGAGAACCAGTTAGAAACATAATCAAAGTCAATGCTTCTATGTTAAACTACATATAGTGGTGAAGAATTAAGAACTTACAGATTTACTATTGGTTTTGTATATTGGAAGGAACCCCAATTAAATAGATTAAAAATTGTCTTCAAGTGTAGAATAATTGTTGTATAATATATGTGTGGGTACAAAATTAATCGACTATGCGATGCTGAATACAAATTTCCAATCTCTCGATTTATTGTATATTTTTGTCTTTGCGTTGACACATAGTTAAAAAATGTGGCGTTAAGAAATGTCTGTAGCAAATGGTTTTAAAAGCAATCGCGTTGCAGTTGCCACTCTATAAACCGGAGGTGCCATAGCCTAGGTCACTGATCTCAATCGCAATTAAATTGGCACCTAATTAAAAAACACTCCAGCTTAATTCATAATTAGAGTGGAAAGTACTCGGGAATGTACAACTCGCTCATTGGCTCGGCCGCCATTTGTCCTAGACACTGACTTCATTTTTGTGAACCGGAAACTTGGCATGCTTGAGCTCAAACTGTTTCCACATGCCACGGAAAAATTCGCATAACTAACTCAATGGGGTTTTTCTTTTTCGATTGTGCCAGTTTAGGCGGCTGCCGCAAACTGCTGAGGCATGCAAATTACGCAATTCAGCCAGAGACGGCGATAAAAACAAAAACAACATGAACAATTTTCAAAAGCCGATTTTTAGTTTGTTTTTGTTGTTGTTGGTGGTGCTGGGGTCTTTTGGTGGCTGCCTGTTATGATCGATCGCCAGCAAGGCGGGCGAGTAATTTCTGCGATTTGCTTTATGTTCCACATTTATTGCTGTTGCACTTACTTACTTTTGTTTTTGTTGTTGTCGTTGTTGTTGCCGCTACAGCGTTACAATTACAAATTTGTTGTTGTAATACTTAAGCGAGGTATAAATTTAAACCAGTTTACTTATGAGGGGACAACAGCTTAAGAAGTACTCCACCAAAAAGCACTCAGGCAATTCATCGACTTTATTTATATTTGGTTTGGCAACACTTTGTGGAACGCATATGGAAGGCAAATTCAAATAAAATACAGCCGTTAGTAATCAAACACATGTTGCTAATTAGACATTTGTCCAAATCAGTCAAACAAAAAATATACAGTGGTACACGTGCTATAAAAATAGCAGTACACACTTGGCCAAGCAAGCGCAACTGTTGCAAAATGGCGACTGCTCTAATACCTAATTTCTAACTTGCTCAATTCGCAGCTGTTGTGCAGCGTCGTCGTCTTGGCACAGGCCCAAAACTATCCGCCACGGCTGAACATTCCGGGCGCATTGCCATCACCGACACAGATCCCACACCGGCAACAGCAGGTGCTTCGCGTGCGTCGTCCTTTAGCGCCGCAGCGTCAGCAGCACACAATCTTGCCAGCGGTCACGCAACGCATTGCGCTCGAGGAGCGACCCGTCACCGAACCCGCTGAGGATGAGCAGCCAGATGTGTTTCTGCCCAATCTGCTGCGTGAACAACAACTGGCGCAGGCACAGCAGTCACAGTTTCAGCAGGCAGCTGCTGCCTTCCTAAATGGTCAGCAGCAAATTGAACAGGCTACGCCGATCCAACATCTACTTCAGCATGAGGACAGTCAGCCGACAGCAATATTGCCAGCGCCGCCACGTTTCGCCGAGCGTCCTGCACCTGCCACGCCAATCAACCGGCCGGCCTTCAATGACTTTGGCATCGGACGATTCGAAACCTCTCAGCGCTTTGGTGTGGAGCGACCAGCTCCTACCGTGGCAGCGGTGGCACCACTACAGCCACAACGCACCGCCGTCATACGCAACCGTCCCTCGGCTGTAGTGCGTCCAGAGCCCCCAGCACCGCTGCCAGTGTCGCGACCCAGGCCCAAGCCCATCCAGCCGCGACCCATCATCGATCAGAATCAGCTCAACGATGAACACCATTCACAGCAGCAGCAGCAGCGTCGGCAACGACCCGTTGCGCAGACCATTCGCAAGTGGCGTGATGAGAACGAGGATGGCAGCATCACCTGGGGCTATGAGAACGATGATGGCTCTTTCAAGGAAGAGATAATTGGCATCGACTGCGTAACTAAGTGAGTGTGCACATTGTTATATATATACTATTAACGAAAATCCGCCAGAAATGGCACTTCCGAATTCGAAAAACAAACATCACTTAAAAGCTTTTCTTTTCTTAATGTATAATTAACTTACAATTTCCCCAAATATCTTCTTAGTCAAAAAGGACTGTAAAAAAAGCAACTTCCTAATTCTTAAAATTATCAAGCTTACATTTATGTATAGAGATGAATTGATTATTTCAACGCTACTTCTCTTTAGGGGAACCTATGGCTACATTGATCCCGATGGCAACAAACGGGAGTACAACTATGAGACGGGTATCAGGTGCGATCCCAACGCCCGCAACAATGAGGATGAGCTACAGGAGAATGGCTTCGTCAACTACGAGGAGAATCGCGCTGTATTACCGAATGGCGTGGAGATTGACATGACGCAACTGGGGAAGAAGAAGTCCAAACGTCCAAGCAGTATCTACAGAAATTAATACCACTCACACACACACACCCAAAACTCTAGTTATTTTTTAAGTCGCGTCGCATTATTTCGTACTAATCTGTAATTATGTCTGTACTTTATTATTATCTTGAGTGTGTGAAGATGAAAGTGAATGAATATATATGAATAGCCAGTAAATTCGCATTGAATTCTCGTTTATGACGCTTAGTACGGACGTTGGCGTCTCGTGGGCGGCATCCGATTTGGTGGCGTTATTGATATATCCAGAAAGTCACCAATACTAAACTTGGCCTGCGCGAGCGTCTTGTTGTCATCGATGCCCTTCTGGCCTGTACAGGTAACACCGATTTCGCGCATTTGAAAGTGATTGTTGCGATAATTGGGGAACACAATTGCAAAGTCAAAGTAAGTGCCCTTCTTGCGCGTATCCGGATTCACGTCGCGCACCAGCGACGTCAGCTCGTGCAATGTAGCATCTTGCCAGGTGTATATCTGTAGCTCATTCGTTGGCACATTTCCGTACATGTATTCCGACACCGAATGGTGACGACCCGTGGAACAAAACACACGAAGTAGCAGCGGACATGTCTGCAAGAAGAAGAGGAAAATTAGTTTAAATTGCTGCCGGCAGCCATATGCCGTATGCCGGCTGAAACAAACCTTCTCGCGATCGATTTGCTTGACCAGCGTCTTTTCTTCAACAATCATTGACTCAACGTTAGCCATGTTGTTGTCTGAATATGTGCTTTTAATTGATTTTTTGTTAAATTCTTAAACTGAAAACAAACACGGCATCAACACACCACCGCATAACAACAACTAGAGATGGACAAAATGTAGCTGTGACTTTACCAGTGACAGACCATGATGAGTACCACAAGTTACATATCGAAATATAAATATAAATTCACGTGTATTTCAAAAGTGACAACATAAATTTAAGAAACATAATTGCTTGATAACGGGATTATTATAGCTGTTCGTCACTGTTTTACATAGTCTACGTTATATTTGTGAGTCTCACAATTTGTTGTTCCCTCATCTCTATTAGATGCTACAACGTGAAGTTGGCTGCGCTGCGTCAGCTGTGCCTAAATGCAATACTGCCTGGCTATGAAAAGTATTTTTTTGAGGTGATACCACATTTTTACCACGAAATCAGTATTTTTACAGTAATTACTGCAGGCCACACAGCATTTGACAAAAATAATGGTAAAGCGAAATTTGTGGTGAACGGTCGTGTCGCGTCGCGACTGTCTGAAGTCTGAGAATACTAAAGGATATTCCTTCTGCAGCACAAATGCCAAACGACAATAACATTGGCAAAGTTCACAAATTACAATAGCGGTCAGCGCAGTATTCTATTGCAATAATTGCCTGGTCTACGTGCCGTGCTTCAATTGTGCCGTGCCCCAGCAGAAAACCAACAACAACATTTTGCCGTCGTCGGCGTAAATTATCTGAAATTGTCTGTAAACGGTAAGTAAATGGATTTTTAGAACTAAACATGCTGATTAAGATTTTGTTGACAGTCCAATCAAAAGTGGCTTGGCTTATATAATGCATTTGCTGCAGCCCATTGCCATGATAGTTTTTTTTATGTATGTATAAATATACATATACATATACATGTACATATACATATACATATACAGATAAATATACAGAAGTGTGTTTGTGAGTTGCTTTAGGCTTTGTCGGTCGCATTTTTTATTGTTTGCAGCCACTCGATATTTGCTCAGGTTTTGTTTATAATCATTCGAGTAAATTGCAAATTGTATTTATTACGTTTGCATTTGCAGTACACGCATAAAATTTGCACTACTACGTAATATTGCCAATCAACAACGCAATCCATTTATAAGCAACAAAAAGTAGCACATTTCGCAGGGCATTCGAGATTTGTCAAGACGCCTGTGATAAATTGCGCCTTTTTATACAGAAGTTACAGCCAACTACACCACACTCCATGTCACGTATTTTATGCTGCGCCTTTATTCTTATCTCCTGGGGATATTCTGTTGCTTTGATTGCCACATGTAGTAAAGTGAATTTATACATAAACGTATTGCGATTTCTTTTTCAAGTGTATTAGATCTTCGGTGTGCAAAGTTTTGCATTCCAGGTCTGCAGCTTCTATTGCGTTGCTGCTATGTGCGTGGGTGCGCATACGTTCCGAATACCCTACATTCAATTTGTGATTTAAAAAGGTGTAATATTCTACACCCCAAGCTTGCTCAATAAGGTCGTCAAACAGGAGTGGAAAGTTGAGCAAGTATTTAACTTAACACCAAAATAATTGCAATCAAATAAAAATAAAAAAATAGTTATTGAAAAGTTAAATGTATTGCTAAAGTGTATTAAGAACTCTAATTAAAACCTTAATTGCCGCTTGATTGAGTATTTAATGCAGTATAATAAGTAATATGTGAAATCTGTTTTAAAATAACTAGAAGTTTGTGCAAGAGCTACTTGAAATGTATAAGATCAAAATAAACATGTACAAATACATACAATTTTCGTGATACAAATTTAACAGCTGCGCTGCTGTTTTAAATGCTCTACAACGTTTTACCGAAAATCGTTAACAACTAACTACACAAAGCACGTACTCAATATGATTTACAATGCATTCGATGTTAATACAACCTCAATAAATCTCACTTAACAATAACTATGCATATATAGTAAATTTCGTATAACAAATTGTTGCAGGGTATTTAACAATCAGTTCGTAAATAATTCCGCTCGTGTTTTTGGTTGTTTGTAGTGTATTCGTATAGAATGTGTGTACATAAGTATTATTGAATTTCCTGCATATGTTGTCGTTGGTGTCTGGCCATCAGCTGGCGTGTCCGTCTCGAAGGAAGGGGTTCCTTCAGCCATGAACGTGACTGGCAGCCTGGATACCCCAAACACCTACATTTTCAGTTGCTTTTGTCGCCTTTATTTGTTGCTGCCTGAATTTTAAATGTGCTACGTCCTTGTGTGAAGATGTGTTCTTGTTTTTGTTCGTTGTTGGTCTGCTGCTGTTGTTGGTTGTTGCTGTTGCTATTTGAAAATTTTAATTGCTTTGGGCAACGCGTTGCGCCCTTTGCCAACACAGTTTTTGAAGTAGAACCAATTCCCTTAGACACACGAATCGAAAAATGGAATATAGCTGAGACAGAACCCGAAGGCATAGAAGCCAAAAGCAATAAATTCACAAATGCAAATAAAATATTTTGATATAGATTTTGCTGTTGCTGCCTCTCTCTGTCTCTCTCTCTGTCTCTCACTCTCTGTCTCTCACTCTCTCTCTCTCTGTCTCTCTCTGTCTCTCTCTCTCTCTCTCTCTCTCTCTCTCTCTCTCTCTCTCTCTCACTCTCTGTCTCTCACTCTCTCTCTCTCTGTCTCTCTCTGTCTCTCTCTCTCTCTCTCTCTCTCTCTCTCTCTCTCTCTCTCTCTCTCTCTCTCTCTCTCTCTCTCTCTCTGTCTCTCTCTCTCTCTCTCTCTGTCTCTCTCTGTCTCTCTCTCTCTCTCTGTCTCTCTCTCTCTCTGTCTCTCTCTCTCTCTCTCTCTCTCTCTCTCGCTCGTTCTCCAGTCCATGTGTGGGTGTTTTCATCCTTGCCACCATAAACACAAAATGGCAGCACATCTGAATGAGCTCGACCTTGATCTCCATGGCGACCTCTGTCTGGGCACAGTGGAGTGCCACTTGAAATTCTTTGAATGTCGCAAATTTGTCTAACTGGTTAATCGTTTAATCATTTGCATTTTACTTTATTTTTATTTAATATATTCAAACCATTATTAAAATAAAACACGAATCTGTATACTTAGCATAAGTTTAAAAATAATCAGTAATAAGATGTTTGAAATTATGATTTTCCTACATAAAACATGTATATATACACTTATATAAGACGTATATATGGACACATATAAAAAAAATCAATAAAAATATGGTTAATTTGTGAAAAACATTGATTCATTTTTGCGAACTAAATTTATACTGTGAAATTGATAAGCTCATCATATAAAATTGTGTAGTCTTTACGACATTTTCGCTCTTCACTCATTTTCTGCTTAATCATTTGCTCAATTTCTGTCCGCCACAATAATCGAAACTGTTGATGATTCTGATGTTGTTGTTAACAGGAAACACAAAGATAAAACATCTGTCATCAGACATCGTTTTTCGTCTATCACAGACATTAAACAATGTGGGGCAAATCGAATGAGCAATCCACGATTTTGGTATTTTGATTGAGGTGACCAACGGGCGTGTGTCGATTTGTGTTTTTCCAAATATAAATACATACATATATCTGTATGTATATCGGACGTAGCATTTGCTCAGTTTACGTCGTTGCTGACGCAAAAATGTGAAGAGACTTTAAAATAAATTCAACTCAACGTTTTTATTATTATATCAGTTGCTTTTTGTCCATTTATACGCGTCTTATGCTATTTATACACTGCAACCATTTAAAATAGAAAAGGTATAATGAAGTTGTGCTTAAGTATGTAACGGGTAGAAGGAAGTATGTCTGTATAAACTATTAACCATGTCCATCGATACAAATCAATTTTCGATAGTAAAACTGACACACTTGTAATTAGGTAGCCATCCAATCCATAAATAGAATATACCCATGCATATTACTGACCAACTGAAAAAAGTTTATTAAGTTAGGATAAGAAACACAAATATCAGATAACCAAAACATATTTTCATATTAAACAAACTACTATCAGCAATCTGACTATGGTGTAGGAATGCATTTGTGGTTTTATGCTCATGTTGATTATACAAAACCAAATTTAACGTGAAATTTGTCAATAAAACTGGAAATTGTATTTATAAGTATTACTATATTTAATAGTCCTCTCGACTGGAGTACTCTAACTTATTTTATTTTGCATTTGCTTTGGTTCTAGTACAATTTGTATTTTATTCAAGTAAAATATGTAAGGAATGAAAGTGGAACTTGGATTTATTACTAAATCCAAGCAAAAGAAAATGTTTAAAATTTCAAGGTTTGTGTTATTTGGGGCAAACGGGTAATCTAAATCCGTTCACCGAAATTGGTTAGTAATATGTGCTTAATATTACTAAGAAAATGATATGGACTATCTCGATAGTTTCTATATCATGTAGAATCTAAAAATGTATACGTTTATTTTTGTTTAAAGGTACTTATGTCGTACTCTTATTTAGAAACAATGTCCATCACATGATATTCGTATTAATAATGTTAAATACTTATTAATTTAATTTGATTAATTAAACTAATTAATTAAGCACACCTAAACATTATATATTTAGAGAATCAGCACATGTGTGACATCAAAAATTCAATTAGTATTTTGTATGTGATTTGATGTCCTCATTGCAAAAATCTCCAGACTTACAGTTACAGAGTATCTTACAGTCCAACTCTATCGACTGGCGAGTTCTTTAATTATGCCTGCGCTTGGCAATTGACGAATTCAATACAAACTGGCTCTTTCGTCAATCGGCTGGTCTTGAGAGGAGGGCTGTCTGACGGTTGGTGCAATTGAACAGACGTCACAGCTAGTGAGCACAATGGAGAATCAGTGTGCTGATTGGCGTTGTCGACGCCTGGACTTAGAAAATGCCTAGTCTAGTTGGGGCATAAGTAGTACCAACAATATAACAATACATGTGGAACTGTGTGTACGTCTCAATTAACGATAATAACAACTGTTAATTGTTATCAGTTATAGTAGTAGTAGTTGCTAAACTGGGAACAACTTGTCGCTGACGGCTGCAGCCGGGTTCATTTAATGCGTCAACGCAAGGCTGTCAATGATAAGCGCCGGACAATGACGACGGCCATGGCAATGATTGAGATTTACGATTTAAGCCGAACACAATGTGTTTTTTAACAACTGTATTCGAACGGAACCTTGTGCTAATCCATCTTACGACTCACGTTCTGCTCGATTTTTGGTAACACATGTCTCATTTCGGTTACCATTTGCATAAAGTTGATGAAACTATTTTTGCGTCAAGTCTGTGACATGCCACAGTTGTTACTGACAGCCAGCAACAAAGGAGCCTGTCTGCTAAAATGTGTCAAAAGAGCTCCAAGGTTGTTCGATAACCATCGAAACTTACTTATAACTAGTGAGAGCTCTCTCTGTGCCACTGTCCTCACCCCACCCCCTCTCAACTGCACGACATTCAATTGCGCCAAAATGGCATTGGGCATTGTGTCTGATAAAATGCAATTTAAAAACAAGCGTCTCATTTTATATAGAAAAGTTGATTAGTGCGGCACAAAAGCTGTTGAATATTTAACATACATTTCTCTATAAATAGTAATTTTAATTATACAATTCATCGTAGCAGATGACAGAAAGAAATGTTCCTGAACTTAACTACCAATCCCATTTTGTACATTACGCTTTTAGCTTGGCTCTTCTGGGAATATGCATTTACTGCAAATGCTTACAAATAGACAAAAATT